GTATTTCCTTTGACGAGACATAGTAAAGTGATAGACATGTTTTCAGCTTATATAGTATTTTTTTGCGAAATGTTATTGGCTCAAAGTGTGGTATGTGAGGACAAGAGTTAAAAGAATTTTATTTGCGAAAAAATACTGAGTGAGTACTATATGTGAGAAATTATTCTGTTTCACAAGCCTGCCGTATGATCAGCCACATTGCATCATAGGACAACAATCGCCTAATCACTGCGCCTCCCTACTCTTTCTCACTTATCACCTGACGTTTTTTATATAGGCTAGACTGGTTCGGATAAAAAATGTTAGATTTATAGTCCTGATATTTCATTGCACGTGACCCTTTCTCATATACGTTCGATAAGATAATACTTTATTTATGAAATAAAAACGTTGCCGGTAGCCGGCCTACAATACATAAAAATGCGACTATATCGCTATTACATGATGTTTTAAATAAATACATAAATATTAATTCTATCATTAGGGGGTGGCTCGGGGAAGAGCGTAGAAATCAACTCATGTGGAGGCATTCCTGTTTCGTTTAGACGTTCCCCATGAACAAATTTTTCAATTTGCTTTTCAATTGATGTAACTCCCTCAGTATCATTGATCTTCCAGAGTAAAAACTCGGCAGGAGGAACCTTTTCAAATAAATGTGGCCACCTTTCTCTAATCATAATCCTTAACTGATCAACTGTTTCGTTGGTAGAGATTTTAAGCGTAGTAACACTTCCTTCTGATAAATTTGATCTTTGAGCTACCCCGCTAGGTGAAAGAAGACAATTGAGAGTAATAATAGTATCAGGAACCTCAGTCTTATCGGTCATCTTGCTTTCCTAAATACAAGGCTCATGGTGAGAAAAAAACTCGCTCCCATTCATAACTGGTCCCAGAGGGACCCTCTCTGGCATATACATACCTTATTTTGCGTTATTTTACGGGAAAGTTTTTTGCGGAAAGTTGGCTGAACTTCCACATACCTCTACATGCTTTATATCTTGCTGGGAAAAAGAGCGCCAAGCCGAAGTTAAGGAGATAAGAATAGTGATTAGCATTGTCGTATGATGCCAAGAGTTCTATGAAGGCACATGTAAATGGAATCTTCATACCTTTTCACATGGAGATCTACCGGAGAGACGCAAAGGTAGTTAGTTCTTGTAGATCTCGAAATTCCAAAGTCCTCAGCCTTTCATAACATATGCTTTTGCCGTCAGTATTTACTTTTGGAGTTGGTCCTGTGTTGCAACTAGACCTCCTTTCACATTTTCTCACATTTGTTCGGGAAAAAAATATAGGTACTGGTTAGTATGTTTTCTTTTTCGAATATATATGCAAAAATTAATATGTCGCACAAGACCTGACTGATGATCCACTTATTTTGTCGCACAATTTGTGGCTCAGCAAAATCTTCCGAGCTGATGATCACTGCTCCGGACTGATTAGTGTTGTTAATCCGGCACGAAAACTATTATCGCAAAATGCTTCGAAAAATGATGAAACTCGAAAAAAAATCCAAGCCGATTAACAATACTAGGACTGATATTACCTAAATTTACCTAAATGTAAGACGGTTTACGGTTATCATCCATTTTCCTCCTCCGGTCGAGAATCTTGTATGTACCGATTGGGGACTTATAAATAGCAAATCTTTGCTGTTGTGATATAAAGTCTAAGCATGCTTGCAAGAGTAGTTTAGACGTTGTACCTTTTTCTACTTGAATAAGCATTATTACCAATACATCAAGAGGTAAATCTGGTGGAAAAATATATTCAAAATCCATTAAAGCGAAATGCTTATTTTTTGGCGTTAACCCTTTAATGAATACTTCTTTAAGATGATTTTTACAGAGTTTGATAACATCGTTACATCTCTTTATCTTCGAGTAATAATCCACTATTGAGTCTTCATCTTGAAGCAATGATCCACACCGGAACTTATCAACCTCATCTGCATTATTTTCTACCTTGATCTCATCTGTATCTTTACCATCCGGCCATATTCCCATCGAAGTTCCTCGGCACTATACGGTAATTCTATTAGGCTTAAAATTTGTGGGAGGTAAAAAGCATTGGATTGTATGAATACATGGAATAATGATGCTGGATTTCTTATGCCGGGCAGACTATATACAAATTTCTTAAGTATTTTTTCTCTCCAATGCCTAATTGCCTTTGTCTTCCAATAGATTTTGATTTCGCAAAAAAGATCTTCCCAGTCTTCCCACTCTGGTGTAAATTTGGGAATTCCTTCATTGCCCCATTCATACCTTTCCCCATATTCTTTGATAAATTCATTATAGGCCTCATTCGCATCATCAAACATTTTGCTAATATTGTAGATCAATTATACTTAATAAAAAATAAAGTACTGTTAGCGTGCATAGCTTCTTTTCAGTATATGCGAAAATTATGTTGCACATGACCTGACTGATGATCCACTTATTTTTCTGTTGCACAGGAGTGGCCCAGCAAATTCTTCTTTCGAGCGAAGTGATCTGGGTTGATGATCAGTATTCCGGATTCGGCCCTTAAGGCGCTTCGCTAAATTTTCCGCATTAAATATATTACTTTATTATAGCAATCATGGCAAATAATGATCCCGAAACAGTTGCTCAATTATATGGAGTGTTTTTATATAAGAAGAAGGATATAATAGCTATTCAGAAAAAACTCGGTATTAGTGGGAATGCAAATCAGTTGGTAGTACCTCCAGTTTCTGAGCTCATGGGGAAAACACTTGCCGATTCTTACGAGCTGTTGTTAGAATTGGTAGGGGATTTAATACCGATTCAGGAGAAACTCATCATTGATGGTAATCCCATTCTAGAAGAGGCACTCCGAAGCAATAAAGCTTCTACGGATATTCCATTTGGTGAAATATTTAATTTGTTTATGTGTTTGGAAGAGGATATAATAGCAATTCAGGATAAACTCGACATTGTTGGCTATTCTAATCAAGAAAGGGCGGAAGAAGTTGATGAAAATATGAGAGCATATCTCCGGAAGCTTAAGGAGTTTCATGGTCCCTTAGAGGATGATCCAGGTGTGATATTTCCGAAATATGGTGAAATGGGTGTAAAGAAAATTATGTTTACTGGAGAGAGGCTTCCATTATTTCCGAAGCTCTCTCCTCAACAATTGCATGAAATATTCGTTAAAAATCCATCTAGTGCTGGTCAATGCCCATGTCTAGAACAAGTTAGCTAATCTATATTTTTTATCACAGACTATAACCCAACAAAAAATCATCTGAGCTGATGATCACTACTCCAGATTAGTTAGATCGGTAGAGTACCACCATTCTACTTGATCGGCTAGTATTCTACCGAAATTAATCCTTGGCGATCGTCTGTTAGGTTGCTGGTGTATCTGAGATATGACCGAATTCTGATTATTATCAACACTATGCCAGGTGTTATATAACCGACCACCACTCCGGGGTGATGTTTTAGCTAGAATACAGCGTTCACTCAATCTCCTTAATAAGTCGTCGATGATAAAATTATCTAAGGATGCAACATCTCTTGGTACATCATGTGGTATCCCCAAACTCCTTACGAGTTCACAGATCACATCTAGGGAAGGTACCCGAATCGGCACAAAATTCTCAACATGGATATTTGGATTAAGTGAAATGAGCTGATTTACGGCTTCTTTGCTAATATTATTACACCCTTCTAAATTGAGGTACTTTAAATTAAGACATGAACTAGCAATTTCTTTGATAGTTATATCGGTAATTTGACAAAAGCTAAGGTCGAGTTGCTGGAGCTTTGGACAGGAACGAATAATATTACAAATTAATGGTTCAAGAAACTCTGTGCGGTATGAAATGTTTAGATATTCTAATTTATGGCATGACTGAGCGATTTTCCATAGATCTAGATTATATACTTCTAGAGTACGAAAGCTCTTAAAGCTACCTGACCGATCAACGCACAGATTGAGATATTTCAGATTCGGGTATGAACCCGCTATTAGTTCTAATGCTCTATTACTAAATGCTATGCTATTTATGAAACTCAAGTGGGTTATATTTGGGCATGAATGTACAATGCTTATGATTTTTTTAACTGAAAGTGAATGGTAGTATGATACTTCGAGATGAGTTACATTTGAGTAATAAACTGGCATTTGCTTCCTACGTACTAACTTTATGAATTTTTTCAATCGAGAGAGATCCTTTGCACGTTCTATCCTTATGAATTTATTTAATTAAGGGTGATCCTTTGCACAGTAATTTTTATAATCATTTGGAAGAGATTGTCCAGGATATAAGTCTTTCCCTCTCAATTCGATACGCTTCCACAGAATAGGGGCACCGCATCTGTACCACAATCGGGATACATATAAAGAGGGATAGAGGGATTTATCTATCAATAAGAAATGTAAAATCTGTTCTAATAGTTCTGGTAAATAAAAGATGCTTGATTGCGCCATACATAGTGCATGTTATATGTTGTATATTTAAACGAAAAAATAAATTAGCTGGCAGGATCTCGAATAATATATTAATTACATAAGTTTAGAAACTAGCTAACATTGAATCTATTTCTACTATCTGTCCCTTGAAAGGGTTATAATCATCATTTTTAAGCTGAGGTACCAGGCTTGGTGAATTTTCAGAATCAGATTTGGGCTTCTTCTTCGATTTTGGATCACCTAAAGCGTAATTTTTTCCTGCATCAAGACGGTTAATTTTATGTCTTAATGCGATTTCTGAAAGATTGTTGAGATGTTGAGGGGTTGGATTTGGACCGGCATGAACCATTGAGGCGTGTTTAGCTCCTATTTTTCTTAGAAGCTCAGGGGTAATCTCATCTTCGTCCTGATTAGTTTTTAAACTCTTTATGAATTTGGCAAATGGCACATTATTACGCTTTCCAGTTTCAGTATAAACTGGATCACGCAACTTCCCAGCCTTAATAGCGTCTTGAATCCAGGTAAGTAATTCCTTAGCACGTTCTGGATCCTTTTCCATAGAGAGTAATCGCATAGGCATCGGTTTATCTCTCTGTTTGCGACATCCAGTGCAATACCAAGAATAACCAGCTTTATACCACGCTGGCGGATCTTCGGAATCTGGTTTGTAATTAATAATCTGGAGAGATGATACTTCAGCAGGCCTCATGCTCAGCATCACTATCACATCCGCGAGATCCTGCATAGAGGGAATTTTAGAAGTATCGATATTCTGGAGTCTCCTATGCACTTTCTCAAAGGTGAAATGTTCTGGAGTTCTACCTGGATTAGCCAAGCGCTTCTCAGTCCGCTCTTGCTGGATTTTATTGGAAGCTGTAGTGGTCTTCTAATCTTTGGCATAGCGATCAATAAGTTCACGATCTGCCCCGTACTCTGCTAAATACTTACGAAATCGTTATTGGTTTGAGCTAGAAGCAACCATTTCCTTATCATCAATTACTCCATCCTTACTTCCTTTTGGTCCCAAATCTAAAGTATTAATAAAAATATCCCACTTATCTTCACTTTTAGTGACTTCTTGAGCCCTTTTCCTGACTGAATATATCATATTTCTCTGATCTGGCACGAGAGCCTCTTTCTGCTCTTTGCTAAATGCACTTCTCTTTTCAGTGCCTCTCGCAAGGGCTTCCTTAACATACTTACGGGCCTTCCAATCTGGAAGTAAAGCATTAAGTTCAGGGGCATGTTCGCTTAATTGCTCTGGGCTGGACTCTGCGGATAAGTTATATCTTTCTAAGAACTGTTCTAGAATCAAAATGAATTTATTAGTTTTCGCTTTTCGGGTCTTTTGGGTGGGTTCTGCAGTAGACATGTCAATATAAGTAGACTTCAGTTGTTTCTTCTACTTATATTATGTGAGAAAAAATTCAATTCGAAAAATTCCCTCAGAGCTATACTTCTTCGAAAAGGGAAAATAACAGAGATGGCTCTTGACTAGGAGCGAAAAAAATGATATAGCTTATGCTCTGCCATTAAGGCGCTTCCCAGACTGGCATAATATATTTTTGAATATCTATAATAAAAATGAAAATAAGTTTAACGTATATTAATCTTAAAAACTTTTCCAGAAAGAAGTACTATGCTCTTTGGTCTCTTTGGTGAATACATATCTGATTCGGAGGACGAGAATTACCCAACTTGGCCTTGCCTAAATAAGAAAGATGATGGGTCTATCGGCGGGAAAAGATACTTTCGCGAGGGTGGGTGTGTCAGACACTATAAGTATCCACCAAATAAAATGTGTGCATCCTGTAATAGGCCAATCCATTCTCGAACTGGCTTTTATATGATGTATAAGAAAAACTGGCTAGAGAGTCGCAAAAAGAGTGAGTAGGATTTGTAACTTTGGCCGAAGACGCGGTTACTAAGCTGACCCACTAAAGCAAAGGAATTTTAAATATCTATAATAAAAGTGAAGATGAAGTTTTGAGATTATTAGTATCAAAATTATCTCGTATGGGTCGTTTTATCTGCCAATATATCAAGAGAGATGGTTCGATTTGTGGGAAAGGGTGCATGAGCGAATTAGGATGTTCCAGACATTTTAATGCCCGTCCTAGAACAATATGCCCTGTCTGTAAGATGGGAACCTATTCCGATACTGGAATCTGTAGCACACATGGTGGAATTTATGACCATGCCTGGCGCGAAAGTAAAAAAACTAAAACAGAATCTAATATGGTCAAGACTTAGCTGAATAACTATTTGGGCTGAAATATTATTTGTTCTGCCCTATAGAATCAAAGAGTTCCTGAATCTCATTATCTGGTTTTGGCCTATATGGTGGAAGTTCTGGTGCACCTTTATCTCCAAAACCAGTACTATTATATGGCTGGCGATTAATTCGGTATGAGTATTGCCAAACTTGTTGTCCCTTAGGCCCTATTCTTTTTTTATCACTTTTAATAGTATAGCCACACCAATTACCAGCAATTGCATTGATTGCCTTTATAGCCGAATTAAGATCTGGTGTTGTCTTAGCATGAGACTTAAAGCCAAAGAGTGATAAAGACTGATTTCGAATTTCTATAAATCTTTCACAGGATTGCACGAATGCTTCTGATACAATATTACCAGGAAGGATACGTTTATCATCAATGCCGGTAAAGCCTAATATTTGAAAGAATTCTCTTATAGCCTTCCAATGATTTGCTGAATAAGATTTACGCAAGTCTTCTGCCACTGATTTTTCCAGATTCTCTTCGGCTTTATAGCAGGCAATTTCCCATTGTATATTTTCCTCAGCTTTCAATTCCTTCATTGCATTCTCCTCATCATGACCTTGCCTTCGAAAATAAGACAATCGTAAGAAATGCTTTCGAGCTTCAGGCGAACTAAAATTTTCAATGAATTTTCTATTGCAAATATTATTCCAATCCTCGATACTCATGTCTTTGCAATAAAGATTCCGCATATAAAAACGTTTAAGTGCCATAATATCTGCGATAGAACACTCTTGATCGAATTTAAGGACTTCAGCTTCTTCAGAACTAAGATTCCGGGAAGTAGCAACTGCGTTAAAATCTGTATTCTTGATAACTAATGCTTCAACCCTAATCTCATTGCGAACTCTTTTGCGATTCCCTATAACTCCTCGACTCTCATCCATTTTTATAAGTTGGAGAGAAGCGCCTGTACTAGCTATAAGACTACAAAGCTTTTCAATAAAATATCTTGCAAAAAGACGTTTCTGATGCTCGACTTCAATGAAAGTTATTATGGCCGGAGACTCATCAACTTTATAAGAAATGGTATTATTATTCCATTCACGATGTCCCTTTATTGCTGTATGTAAATTATTAGGCCGAGCACTTGCAAGTTCTGCCCGAATATTTTCATGACCTGGTGGGCGAAAAAGCTCATTAGAATTTTTCTGATAGAATAGGGAAACAATATGACGAGGACAGTCACGAATTTGATAAAGCATTTGTGCAAGAGCTTCAACATGAACTGGAGTGGTGATGTTTGTAATAGCTATAATTATATCGAAGTGGCCCGTAACCTCGAATGATATTCCCGCCTCCACTGTATTTGTATAAGCTACGCAATCAAGTTCATCCCAAGCAACATTAATATCAGAAAAGTCTCTTTGACATTGTTTTCCATCCATATCTCCGTAATAAGCACAGGCTCTAACAGGCGAATTATCAGACTTAGACAACTTAGATGCTTTTTCTATTAATGCTCTAGCTATCACCGCTCCAGTAGATACAAATGCCACACGTTTACCCTGCCTTAAAAGATCATATCCTATTCGCATGGCTTCAGCTCCGCTATTCGGATCATAAATAAACTCAACTGTCTCGCCTATACGAGGCTGATACTTATTATCAACTACGTGAATATTTTCACTGCGATAAGCCTGGAGGAAGGATAATGTCGATGTATTTGCAAAGGCATCCATGGCTAAAACATGCCTTGCAGATCTTAAAACATCACGCATTGCATTCTCAGACTCCCGTGCATTTGTACCGCTAGACATTTGACGCATAATGGCATTAGCTTCATCGAGAATAGCTACAAACGGACGGGCTGTAAACTCGATACGGAAAAGACTCTCAACCTGTACTATGATAATATCCCATTTGTCTATAGATAAATCTCCTAGTGTATTTTGGTAATTGCAAATTCGGAAACCTAATGCTTTTAAATCATCGAGTTTTGCTTTTGATTCATTGCTAAGAGACTTTCGGTAAGAGATCCAGATAAAGCATGGCAAAGAAGAAATATCATGTACTTTATCTTTCAATGCCATAATAATCTCTCTTAACGCAGTGGTTTTCCATGTCCCCGGGGGAGAACGAATAAGTGTTGTTGTTTTCTCAATACCCAAGAAATCGGGATATACTTCTGGAGCATCCTTTAATTTTTCTACATTAATTATCATTTCTGATAATCCTACAAGAGGACGTGGATTTGATATAGCATTACCTATTCTTTCGACTATTCCTCTCTTAGGTTTTGCAGAAACTTCGGTCACTTTTTCGAACGCTAATCCCTTATGATCTGGTTTATAATTTTTCTGCCGATAATATTTGAGTACAAAACAGCCGTTACTTCGAAGAAAGCCATATAACTGATCTTTTTCGTGTTTGATATTGCAAATGGGACATGCTTCCAATGACTGAGCTTGAAAGTTAATAAATCCCTTTCTAATGTCGCAACCTCAAGCCATCCATATTTTGCAATAACTAAACCAGCTCCCATGCTTAAGGCGGTTTCATCTTTGATCACAGGTCGAAAAGTGAAAAATCAGGCACCAATCGGTCACCAATCAGTCACCAATCAGTTACCTGATTGGTGACCGATTGGTGCCTGATTGATGCCTGATTTTTCACTTTTCGACCTGTGGATGGGCTGAAATTTCTTCTCTTCTTTCTCAGGAGAAAAGGTCCGTGGCCAGATTTCAGAAGCGTTCCACTTAGGCTGAACTAAATAATCTTCTAGTTTGTGATATCCTTTCTTAACTGAAGAAATCGCAGGTCTTTTAACTCTATCTTCCTTTGCTGATCCAATGAGTCTGAGACTAAAGCGATATTTATAAAGTCCAATATCAATAAACTTTGAGTATGGTTTTCCAACCTTATCAGCGACTTTTTCCACAAAACCCTTAAGATCTCTGTAGTCAATAAACCGTGCATATTTATACACAATATGCCAACTGCATTTATTAGCATTAGACAAGCTGGCTAAAGTAAAAGCATCTAATATTGCAAAATGCTTTAAATCAGTATTTATAATATCGACACAGGCAATTAAGATTCTGGAAAATAAATCTTCACGAGAAATTTTACTCTCATCTAAGGAAGGAAATTTAGGATTCATGGGATCGGACTTTTGCCTCGCATTAATATCCAGAACCAGATGGAGAGGCAAATTCCCATCAATGCACTCGTGAGCATCAGGAAACCCATAAACTTCGGATTGATGATCGACTACTGTAAAGCCCTTTCCTGCAACCCGAACTATATATTTATTTAAAATCTCTTCAGGATCATAAGTATCTAGAAGAGCGACATCATCTTTACTGATAGACAAGTTTTGGAAATACACATGATTATTATGACCAGGCTTATAATCAAGGTCAGTTAAGCCTGAGAAAAGCTTTATTACTCCAGGGTGAGGCCCAGCATTTTTTTGCGCAAGAAGCATGGTGTATATGCAAGAAAGCAGTATAAAATAACAGAGAAACTAGCAAAGTTCAAAATAAAAATTCTNATGTGTATAAGAGACAGGTTCCCTTTCTTTTTGCTTTAAAATAACTCGAAATGCTTCAAAATTCCATTGATGATTTATAGTAAGACAGGAATATAGTATATCTTTAATCTTGAGATTACTAAAAATTAATTCAAGCAGTTCGGAACAAACAAGTGGGCCAGGCCCAGCATTTTTTTGCGCAAGAAGCATGGTGTATATGCAAGAAAGCAGTATAAAATAACAGAGAAACTAGCAAAGTTCAAAATAAAAATTCTATATAATTTTGAGCGAATATGCTTGCTAGTAAAATACTGGGTTAGTGTAGTACCCAGCGCCAAGCCAAAAGAAAGTAAACGATGTGGTAGTACCCCAAAGTGATCGATGTAGTATTACTCCAAAGTGGTCGATGTGGTAGTATCCTAAAGTATCCCAGAGTAGTAACTATACGGGAAAGGGTTCTAGAAAGGCAGGAGCGAAAAATAAGATATAAAATTGGTAGTACCCCAAGTTAGAATAATATATAAGGAAAGAAAATGAGAAATTACAACTTGGGGTACTACCGCTGATAGGCAGGAAAGAGATCGGGAGGGCAGAAAGATTCAGGAGAATACACGAAAAAGGGTATGAAAGCTGTAAATTCTGAACTAATTCGGCACTTCGAGCCTCATCCTCAGCAATCAAAAGGGTTATGGAAGGCAGGATTGCGCATCTGGGTTACCAACTCGGCACTTCGTGCCTCATCTGGCAATCAAAAGGATCATAAAAGGCGGAATTGCACATCTGGGTCACCAACTCGGCACTTTGTGCCTCATCCGGCAATCAAATGGGCATCTCCAAACCTCCAACTAACCACCACCTCGAATGTGACAGGAAGGTAACGGGGAAGAGCCCGCAACCCAAGCCAAAAATGTTCTGAAAATATTCTCGTCACTAGCCCGTAACTATGAAAGGGTGTTCGGTGCCGTAACAGGATCACGTGACTGGCGCAGTAAGGCGCAGTACAAATTCGGCATTCAAGCTGGCCTGAAACTGGCAAACTAATAGAAACACTCAGGTTCTCAGCCAGTTCCATGACAGCTCCAGGATACTACCAGGACGCTATCAGGACGCTACCATAGCGCTAATTTCCAAAGATCGGCCGAAATTATGGTATAAAGCCGGCCAAAATCTGAACTGCAAATTTACTGCGCCACCCGATGATTTTTTTACACCATTTCAGCAACTTAAAAGGCCAGCAAATGGACCACACCCTCGACCTCAAATATGGCAACCAAAAGGGTCATAGAGTGGAAAAACAAACCTATGCCCTGCTTAGCGACCAAACAGTTACAGACCAGTAAAAACAGATGGATAGCAATAAAGCATCAGAAGGGGCATAGACATGTAAAAATAAGTAAGTATGCATCAATATCTATAAGTAGGCATCACTATGGTGTAAGTAGATAGATTAAGTAGACATCACTATATATATAGTGATGTCTACTTAATCTATCTACTAATTATAATAAAAGTTTTAAAAATTTTTTATTTTTACTAAATTTTATTGTTATTCTTTAAAAATAAATGATTTTTATTAGTAAAAAAGTTACTTTGAATTACAAAATACTATAAACAAATCTTGAAATCACATATCTTTAACTTTATTTTAAAATTATGATTATTTACTTACTTTCTTTAAAAAAGTCTAATTAATTTTTTTTTTAAAAAAAAATAAATTCATAATTGGTATTATTATGAAAAAATGCTTGTATCCTATAAGTATTATTTCAACTATTATGAAATATTTATCTAAATATTTTTGACCTTGCTAAATAACTTTGCTTAAGCATAAAAAAGTGATTTCATCTGACTAGCCCTAAAATTACTAATTAAAAAAATAAAAAAAATTAAGTGTAAAAATTATTTGTACTCTGAAAATATTAAACTAATTCTACTAATTCTTATAAAAATTAATATATAACTTGCTGAACAACTTACTTAAGTATAAAAAAATGATTTTATTTAACTAAAATACCTAAATTACACTGAATTTAATAGTTAATATTAAAATAAAAAATACTCATATTCAATAATATTATTTTAACTGCTGTAGTTTGACCTTAATATTAAAATAATTTTTTAGATAGTAAAATATATGTAGGCTTATTATTTTAGCCAGTATAATATATTTTTCTTTGACTAAAAAACTATTGTTAAGAAATAAATAAAAATAAAAGAAAACTTGTTAATATTTTTTTATTATGTTAATAGTTAGTAAAGTTTATTTATATGAATTATATAATAGAATAAAGCAAGTATTATGCCTCTTTATTGTATACTCTTAGGTATTTGTCTGGCATAAAATATTAGTATCAATAATTTCTGGAAAGAAATTTCCACTTTATTTTAATAAATTCATAAATGTGCTGTGATAAAAAAAAAAAAATAAATAAAAATTAAAATAATAATTTTTAATATTATATAATTGTCTGAAACCATACAGCTTTTTCTACCTTATATATGTAGATCAATATTTTACTAATAAATCACATTTAATTTGTTAGATAGGTAGCTGGTGAATATTATATAGATTTTCTTTATATTTTATACAGTGTTATATAATAATAGATTATTTATCATACTAGATGATTTGAAAAAAATTTAAATATTGGCATATACTTTCACTTTAATAAGGAATTCAAATGAAATTAGTAAAAAAAACATATACTGTATGACTATTATGAATTAATGTTTTAGTCAATATTTGTTTTATAAAATGAAGAATAATATTTACAAATAATGAAAAATTATATTTTGTAATATAAATTTTATAAATATACTAAAAGAACAATAAATAACAAATATTTACAGTCAAACCTTTATATAACGATATGTTGGGACATATATAAAAATTTTTAGAAAATATCATTTATATTGTCCTCACATATAGTGGGAAAATAAAATTTTATCGGTATATCAAGTTTTTAATAGTATATCGGTATATTAATTTACTTGTGATTATAAATGATCAACTTCATCCGTATAGCCTTTAGCAATGCCTGATCGACCTTCTTCAGCCAATTGTACTTCCGTTCCTTTAATTTGTTCAAGTCCTTGAAAAGTTCTTGAATTAAAATATTCTCCTATAATATCAATGGATTGATATAATCAGCTCTTTTTAAGCAACCCAGATATTTACTAGATACAAAAATTTTATCTTGGTTAAATACCCCCCATTCTGGTAATTTAAGCTTAGTTCTGATCAAAATTACAATGTATCCCCTTCATATAATACCCGGTATCTCACAAAGTACCCACGGGTATCATTCAATTTTTAAATCGGATAAATTGTAAAAGATCCGGGTACTTTATGCAGTGCTAGAAAATAATAGTCAAATCGTGTAAATTCTTACCTGCAGCACTGTTTATTAAAGTAGATACTGATGTGTTTTGATTACGTAATGTTAAATCTTTCATGTTATCTGTAATATTTTCTGAAAAATAAAGAATTATAAATTCACAGTGACGGATAAAGAAAATTTAATTAAATCACAAATACCCGATACGCCTTTAATGCCATATTTTCGACTTTGCTTATATTTTCCTGTAACTAAAGAGAAATGAGGTTCATCGTCATCCTTGCAGAACACGGTTTATTATCAAGTAATATTGTTAAAAATGCTATAATATTAAATTTTGTCATATCTATACATAAATAAATACCTTTCCTACTTCTTCAATGTTTGAATGGTTACCTAGCAAAATAAATTGTGTTAAATATTCTTTTGGAATGACAATTATATATACTTACAAGATAATAAGAGCTGAAAATCAGTAATATATTCTCCTGTCCATTGTCTTGATCTATATATATAAAATACATATATTAAAAGAAGATTAGGCTCTATTTGTGGTGACGAACTTATAAAATTAAAAAAAAAATTTTTGATAGAACTTACGGATTCAAAGCGATTTCTAACTCAAAAGGTGTCACAATTGGACGATAAAATTCCTAATCAAATCACAAAACATCAAGAATATAAAATTTTCTAATAAAAAGTATTAATTATATACTTACCTTTGAATCAATCAAGCTATTTTCGGGACAAGCTACAAGTACAAAACATTCGATTTCCATAAAATTTGCCATCTTTGCAACATTAAGCTTGCCCATGACAAATGTATATGGCTTTTTGCCAGCATGGATGATTAATTTTTTGAGATGTGATATTACAATTAAATAAGATGCTAAATTTAAAAATTTAAAAGTTAATATATTTATCATTTAACCTTAAATAATTGACTGATACAACATAAAATTACCAATTCCTAAAGTTCCCACAACTATCCCGATAACATCTGCATCCTTTGCTTTTTGAATCATATAATACCTAAATTAATAAACGTTCAAATAAATTACTTTTAAATTGTAAAATGTCGTTTATGAGTAGTACCGTTTCATCAAAGCTCTATTCACTTGTATAGTCTCTAGTCTTCCTATCCGTATTTCCGGGTTATATGAGAAAACCTTGAAAATTAAAAATGAATTTGATTTATTTCTCATCTATTAATAAATTAATTAGTTCAATTAATGCTTACTTTGCATTTGTTATATGTCATAATTATGTTTGTTAAAGTTAAACTCTCATAACCAATATAAAATATTGTACAATTTTCAATTAAAATATTTTCGGGTAATATATAATGTCTCCCTGAATTTTTTGGAGCTGAAATATCTAACGATAAAGTAAATAAATAGCTAACAAAATAACCTTTGAAGAAAGTAAACTTGCCAAAATAGTCAAGAGGAGTCACTACTAAAACGACTCACCCTTTAAGTTATTTGAAAAATTAAATTCTGATTTAACGAAAGATTGAATGATATTTTTGAAATTCCTTTCGTTCCGTAGTCTAAGAACAAAGTCGTCTATGAAAAAGTACCAGTAAATAAAAAGAATAACTTAAAAGTGTTATAATTAAAAAAAATTCTTACCTATGCAATATGAGTAAACAACATCATACATAATGAGCAATGGCTGATTCTTGTCTTGCTTAAAAAATTGATCAAATGATTCTAAACAATGAGCTAGATCGATAGGTTGCTTTCCGAACACATATAGTACGGGAAGCTGCGAACAACTATTAAAAAGCGTAAAGTCTATAGTTAATAACGGATAAAGTACGAAAAAAAGAATAATAAATTTAATTATTACGGGCTTAAACATGAACGACCATAATGAATAATGCATTCTGCATCAACGTGTTTTGCTGCTACCTCATCCACACAACAGCTATGGTTAAATAAGAAGAAAGCTAATTAATTTGTGACCTTCCAGCAAATGAAAAAACAATTATTACTCATTACCTTCCATATGAAGTATCTGCTAGAACAAAAATTTTTTTCTTGGTTCTTTCTTTTAGAGCTGTGGCAACTTCAGTGGAGTCTGCTAATAATTCGTCAGGAAACTGTAAAGCAACCTACACATAGAAATACTTCAGAGTTTATTGAAAAGTAGAAAGTATGTTCAAAAAAGTTAGAAGTCCACCTTTTCAAACCCGTTGTCCAGTAAAACTTTAACGGTTCTATCAATTTCATAAATGTCTTCTAATTGTTTGACGGAAGCAGCCAACTTCTCACTTTTCACCTCAAGAACGCGCTCTATAACAGCGCTTCCGTCGTCAACAAAACCGTTCTTTCCTTGAAGAGAGGCCATGCTGGTCATGATACCATATTCGACGATTAACTTTTATCAGTATCAGTGTAACCACCATAAACCAATTTCATTGGATAATCAATGATATAACTATAGCTTTTGAAATAAGATCAAGTCTCCTTCTCGACATTCATTGTTTACAATGCCTCCTAAGAAATCAGGTAAGAATCATTAATTGAAAATTTAAATATTATTAAATATGAATCTGAGAGAAAAGGATGATTATTAAAGCACAGTAAAATTTACTTCGCAAATATACTTTTAATTATTGTTGTGCCGAAATAACTAAAAAATTTTACATTAGCCGACAAATCCGTTTCTAAGGAAAAATCCAAGGCGTTATCAGCCAAGAAAGCTGTTTTAAAAGGAGTTCATGGAAAAATTAAAAAGAAGCCACGCACTTCCACAACTTTCCATCGTCCAAAGACTTTGCGTCTATCGCGAAAACCCAAATATCCTCGCAAATCCCTTTCTCATACACCTCGCCTTGATCAATACAAAATTATAAAAAATCCGCTAAACACCGAATCTGCAATGAAAAAAATTGAGGACACAAACACGCTCGTTTTCATTGTTGATACTCAGGCTAATAAACGCCAAATCAAGGATGCAGTGAAAAAACTGTATGACGTTGACGCTCAAAAGATCAATACATTGATAAGGTATTAATGAGCCCTTTGTATTCAAATAAATAAATATTAATATAATTAAACGTAAAATGTCTACTTAGACCAAACGGAACCAAGAAGGCATATGTTCGCCTTACAAGTGATGTTGATGCATTGGAAGTCGCAAATAAGGTTCACCTCATTTATCAAAATTATATTTTCTTTATTTTGTCATTTGTGTACTAACTTATAATAATTTTACAGATTGGATTCATTTGATAAGTAAAAAAGAAAAAAAATATTTATAACGGATGCTAAAAATGAGAATAAGTAATATCATATTATAAATTATATTATATCTCAGAGATACAATTGTCATTTAAATAAGAATAAATTTAAATCAATCAACTTTAAATAACACAATTAGCAAATAAATTACGTAAAAGAAAATTTAATCGGCACTTTTTAAATGCTTCAGTTAAAACGATATATTAATTTATACTCCGGGAAAGAATTTACTAAACTTTTGATTTTAATTGTTTTCACCACGTGACACAATATTTTTATAACATAAATACTAATAGATATCACACCAATCACAGCAAGTAAGATGGATTGATTATCGCGTGATGTGAAATTCTTATATGGTGGGAAAACGCCAAATCGATAAATGCTATCTTAAATTTTCACAGCAAGTAGTTTATATTTCTCAGTTATTTAAATATAAAATATATAATGAAAGAAAGTGATGATAAATTTCAGGATGCTACTTTAGCAAACAATTCGCCTGCTGCTGGTGAAAAAGAGAATGGCCGTCAAGCTGCATTAGACGTAGGAATTGCGACTAACAATGATACAAATATAACAAATAGTGATAAAGTTGATAAAGTTCGCGAACTATTGGGTCAAAGAATGACTCCGGAAGAAAGGGAGAGAAAAAAGAAAGAATTAATTGAAAAACAAAAGGAAGCTCGTCAACGAGCTGGGCGAACTGAAGAAGTACAGTTAAATGGGGAAAATACTAATGTTACAGATACTAATGCTACTAATGCTATTCAGCCTACACAGCCAAGGGAGAACTTAATACTTCCAGCAATAAAATTTTTATCTAGCCCGCAAGTCCGTAATGCGAATGAAGACAAAAAAGTTAAATTCTTGTTAAGTAAAGGCTTAACGCAAGCAGAAATTGATATTGCTAAAAATAGAGTAGATAAAGAGGTATTACATATTATACCTTTTTTTTGCGAAGTGACATTTTGGCGATTTTATAAGAGGAATTCATCTTCAAATAATTTTTATTTGCAAAACGGAACTTTTTTTAAAAAAATATCAGCAATCGGTAACTCCTCCAGTTGTCAACCCACGGATGATGGGTTCTGAAACAATAACACAACCGCCAACTGACCCAACTGACCCGCCACCTGTTCCACCACGCACGTATCAAATGACGGCGACAAGAACTCCATTATGGAGACAACTGATAGTAGTCTTACTGGTTACAGGCGCTTTTAGTGCCGCGATGATCGCGGTAATCAAGGTAAAGGAAATTGTGCTTTCATTATATTATACTTATATGCTAATTTTATTCTTAATTTAAGAAATTCCTTGGTCCTGCAGTTACGGCCATTATTTTTGCCAAGCAACAATTATTTTCCCATCAACTTAATCTTTTCAGAATGTTTAACGAAAGTCTTTCGACAATTTTGTCTTTACGTAAATCAACTTCACCTAGTAAACCTCTTGAGAGAAATAACGTTAATGAAGATGATGAATCGCTCACACCATATGAAATAGATGAAATTTCTACTCCACCTACTTTACTTGCTCCTCTTGCCACTGATCTATCTGAATTAACTGAAAAATTAAGTATACATCAACAAAATTTAGCAAAATATGATACAATGCCAGATCTACAACTTTCTTTGACATCTTTAGCAACGTATCTTTCTTCGAGTATTTATTCATTTTCTTCTTGGTCATCTTCAAATGATCGTGATTCTTCTGTTTCACAAGTTCGAAGTGAAATTCGTAGTTTGAAGGGATTGTTAATTAACCGTAGAAATTTTCCAAAAATTCCTCCCGTGCCATCGTATTCAACTCAATCGCAACAATCTTCATCTCGGTCTCAACAACCTCAGCAACAGGTAGATACATTAAATGAAGACGTAGAATAAACATCATGGATCTTGGAAATAAGATTAATATGAACGTCATTGTAATATATATAAACTTTGGAAAAACTCCGCTTGTCACTACTATGTATTTATTTTACATAATTTTTTGTAATTTATACTTAAATTGTATAGTTATCTTAAATATTAAAGCATATGATAGACATTTCCCAAATAAAACAAATACTAAGATTTTTGAACAATTCAGAATTATAAATTTAAGCAGATATTAATTATCATGTAATATTCAATAGCGAAAGTTAATAAAGTTTATTGATACCACTGATGCGATTGTATGTAACAAAATAATGGATAATTTGAAATTATAAATCATCATCATCAGGGTCCGGCACGGCAGGTAAAAATTCCTCATTTGGACACATCTTTTCAAAAAGTTGCTTTGCTTGAATTGTTGCCGTTTCGAAATCCAACGATGAATCAGAATCGTTAGTAACAATTATATTATCGGGTAGTAGGGAAGAAAGCGTAGCATCACGAAATTTATGCCGGTAAAATAAAGCAAACAAAGGAGATGATAACGAAGCATCTGAAGAGATATGAAATACCAAGTCAATACAATAACTAGGATTTTGAAGCTTGAATAATTAACTTACCATCATTTGAAATATTAACTAATTTCTCTAATGCCTTGTACAAATCTTCTTTGGCACTTTTTCCAGAAGCTTTTGTGGACATGTACAAAACATCTATAAAATGAAAGAAATATAAGATGATTAATAACCTCGTAGTGTCAAATAAAATATTAAATACTTTATAGTTGCATTAACTAACATTTATCTTCGGGACAAGATCGTGTCCCCTCTGAAAACTGGAGAACTCTTATCGGATATTCATTACCCACGGAATCTGGTGGAAATATGGTGAGAGAAGCATCACCTTCCTCGTGAATATATCGATCTATGATCACAATCGCACGAGAAATTTGCTCACTAGTATGTTTGTTTATTGATTAATCCTTTAAAATTGATTAAATATGAAAATTTATATATTTGTGACGCACCATTCTTCATTTTCCTGTAATAACTTTTCAGGTATGTAATCAATAGATGTAATTAAGTATGTGGAAGAAAGTTGTTGGCCATTCACATCAATAAGTCCAGTGAAATTATTTGAACTCTTGTCAATTAAGAGATGCTTTATGGAATGATTTAACATATATATTCCACCAAATACAGCTGAAATCCTATATATTATAGAAGAATTTAAACATTGTCCAAAAATTCAAGTCACGTAATAAAAAAAACATATGTAAATTAATAACATTGCATACCTACAGAAGCCTTGGGAAATTTCACTCCCAGCACCATATAAGGCTACCAAAAAAGCAGCATTACCATAACGGCCAAGAGATTTTAAATATCTTTGTGTATATGTCAAGCCTTGTATAGTATTTACTTTATATTATAGAAATACAATGATATAAAAATCTTATGTAATAGTTTATGAGGTATAAACTAATTTAAATACAAACCATCATTTGCTTTTGTTTGAATTAAAGTGATCGCGTATAAAACTGCTGATAACAATTTGCCATCAATTTGGAATTTTTCTTTGAGAAATTTTTCATAAGGTTTTTCTTCATAACCTATTGATAATTGTAATTATCAAAACTTACTCATCGACATAATAAAGATTTGAAAGAATAATTATAATACCTTCAAACGTTTCTGGAGAATTAGTAAAATCTAAAGCAAATGTTAAAAATCTCATCAATTTTCTTTTGTCAATCAAAGTTACTGTTTGACTTGTAAATACATCTTCCTTTGAACATGGGACCTATAATTGTTAACAAAATAGGTAAATACTTCGTGATATCAGTTGAGTTTGTAATTTAAATTAATGTTAATAAACCTTATCAAAAGTATCTTGATCAGAATATATGTAAGTCTTATCCAAAGCTTTAAATTCCAAATATCTACCCACACCGGAACTTATTAATAATTCGATTAATTCACCACGACAAGGCATTATTTTTGGCGCTATATCCAAATTATATTGCTTTGATTCTTTGAGTAATTTTGCCAGAGTTTCCCTTTCGAAATTAGACAGACTTGTCGAAACATGACGTATTGTTTCTTCTGATGTATCTTGTTCATCTTTATGAAGATATTCTTCATTTTCTTCGGTACTATTTGTCTGCTTTAAAATACCGTATATCTCATATTCAATTGTTGAATAGGCTTGACGGCGAGCCTTGGAAAAATTGATTGGTAAAGCTTTCTTTCCTTCGAAATCTGTTGATAATAATGATATTCTTATAATTTATTCCTGATTCAATTTAAAGGATATGAAGTTTGAAATTAATTTTACTTTCTTGGCTGTTTCCGCTCGATTCCTCTACATGACCTATATATTAGAACCAATTTCTCAAATTATTAACAAAAAATTTACATATAAAAGTCTCTTACAAATTGTCACTAAATAATATGGGCAACCTTGTAAAAGCTGAGCCCAATCTAACAATTCTTGGAAATTAAACGAAGTCCAGCTGCCTCCATAATATTCATTTGTATCCATATGCAACACAGATTTACCGATTCTCGCTAAAGCCCTGTTACGTTTATTTAATTTCACGTTAAGTCGCTACAAAATACTATAATAGTCAAGGAAATTCATACCCTGCAAGGATTGATTCGACAAAACCAGTACCAAGTATAATAACATCATATTCTGTTACTTCCAATTGCTGAGGCATTTTGGTTTTGTAAATTTTGGTGCAAAGAAATTTTTATTCACGTTACAAAATAGGGAAGTCGGTTCCGACTTGCTGGATCTAAATTAAAAATTAAGGTTGGTTTGTGTATTTGCGTTTTTGTGCATAATGCAAAACATTTTTTTTTTTGTCCAAACTTAAATTTAGTTGACTTTTACTAGCGTGGGATAGTAAAATTTTCTTAACAAAAAAATGTCTAATAATCCAACTGTGACTCTGTAAGGTTTCATTGAATCATTTAAGTTACGGTATGGTTTAGTTCAACAATTAATGCTTTTCAATAATTTCTTATGACTACCAATTTTCACGATCTAGATATCCCTTAGGTAATAATTCATAATTTACTTTCGGTTTTATTTTTGTCATCAAACTTACAATCCTCTAATGTTATTTTAGTCAACTACACGTTTGGCACAAAAGAAGCACAACCAGAGGAAGATCCGTCAGTTGCAGCGCGTTTGCAACGGCTACAAAATGATTATGAAACGACCGGTATGCGAAGGACTGTAGAGGGGGTGCTTGTTGTTCACGAACATAATCATCCTCACGTGTTAATGTTGCAAATTGCCAACTCTTTTTTTAAACTGTAAGTTTCAATGTGAATTTATTCCATTTACTATTATTATTATCCTAATGTTTGTATATGTAGGCCCGGTGATTATCTTAAACCAGGAGAAGATGAAATCGAAGGTCTTAAAGCTAGGTTAGATGAGCGGTTGGCTCCAGTTGTTAATACATATAGCAACAATACCTCAAGTCATGAGGACTGGCAAATTGGCGAATGTTTAAGTGTTTGGTGGCGACCAAATTTTGAAACTTTCATGGTATATAATTTATAAAAAATCTCTCTCGAGTTAAAATAAATTTATTTTAATTCTTAATGCTTTCTTTACTCAGTATCCGTATACACCAGCACATGTTACTAAGCCGAAGGAACAAAAAAAAATATTTTTAGTTCATCTTCCAGAAAAGAGTACTATTTCTTCGTTTTTTTGCTTAATTTGTGTACAAAAATTAGTTACTAACTTTTGTTGTACAACTTATCTAGAAATTTTATCTGTCCCGAAAAATATGAAGTTGCTCGCAGTACCTCTTTTTGAATTATATGACAATGCGCAGCGTTATGGACCTCAGTTATCCGCAATTCCACATTTGCTGAGTAGATTTAATTTCATTTATGAAAAATAATAAATAGAATAGCTAATTATAAAATTATTAGACATTAGATATATAGAATATATGTAAGTAGATATAAGAATCGCGTGAATTCGCGCGTTTTTACTTTCTAAAAAAATTTCTAATAGATTATAATATCACAATATATACATTAATTTATTACTTTCACAGAATTACTTTCATCTTTCTTATTTGTACTTATGTCTTCTAATTTTTTAACTTATTTGATTTCTTCCTTTTCCTTTTCCTCTTTTTCTTGTTTAGCTGATTATTATTATCTATTGAAGATTTTTCATTATTATTCTCTTGTGGTTGACTCTGAGAATCATCGTTATTTTCATAATCATCGTATTTTCGCTTTTTACTTGTCGGTTCCTGATTCGTATCTCAATTATTAATCAAGAATTGTAAACAATCCAAGAAAAAAAGTTAAATTAAACGTACATTTGTTAGACTGATCTTTCCCATTTCACTATTCTTTTTATTTTGAGGTAAAACCTTCATTTTTTTTTTCTTACAACTCAACGGATTAGGTTCTTTCGGTCCTTTACGTTTCTTTTTTGGTTTTTCAGTATCTACTTGAATATCAGAATTAGCTTTCGCTAAAAAAGATAATTCCTCAACTGATGCATGGGTTTTCACATTTTCGATCTAATCAAAATGCACAATTTTCAATTAAAATTACGAACATTGATTTTTATATCATTTAGAAATACCTTTTTTGATTTTTGCAATGTGGCATAAGAAGGAGGTTCAAGGATTAATACAGTTCGATTTATGTATAATAGTGGAATGCCAGGAATAGCGCGAAATCGTTTACGAAGCGATTCATTTTGCGTGGCTACGCAATAATTATGAGGATTATCGGGCCCTTATAAATTCATTAAATATTATTATTTATAATTTAGTGTTTATTTAGTATCATGTTAAATTGAATATTACCTATAATTGACAATATACATTCAGCACTTGAGACTGGTTTGTGTCTATGTATACATCCTCGTAGCTCGAATCTTTTTAATGCGTTTTCCGTGCCAAATTCATCTTTGCTTTGATCTTTCACTTCAGCTAATGTACAAGAAGTATATACTATCATCATAAAAGAACATTACGATAATAAGTTTATTTAAAGAAAATCAATTAACAATTTAACATAAATTAAAAGCATACATTGCTTTGTATTGCCTAGCATTACTGTACAGAGTTGCTTAGAAATATCCATCTTATATCGTAAGGCAGTTCGCATAAAATTGCTGTCCACTTTAACACAAAGTATCGTTATCAATAAAATTGAAAATTATTTTAAAATTTTATAATTATCCCAACCTAGTATTTGATAAGGTTCTCTAAAACCAAACGATATAGAATAAAGTGCCATAAGTCGTTTATATTGTTTCGTTCTTTTCTGTCGCATTTTTATTATAAATTATAAAATTTTGAAATTTACGACTTGCAAGAGTGATAAAAAATTTATGGGTACACAAACATCAACAAATATGGTAATGTAAACTGAGATAGACAAATAGTCAAATACCGATTTATAAGTTTGTCTTCGATGGATTTCGATAATGATTCCGACGAACAACATATTTACAACATTGACAAAGGAAAAGGAAAAGAAGTCGAAACGCCAGAACCTGTAGAGGAGGAAAACATTTTACCCGAATCTGTTGAAGACACAGAATCTAGCGAAGAAGAAGAATCGACGGTCATATCACCTTCTAGGAGAGAAGAAGAGTTTATACGAAAAGATCGTTCTTTACTAGATTTTCTTCGAATATTAGACGGCTTTGAACCTCTCGTAAGGAAATTGTCTAGTTTAGAGCTTCTGGAATCTCTTTAATCTCAGTTTTTTAATTTATATTGTTAAAAGATTCCTGACCACGTATCAGAATACTATCTCTCCAGATCCGGAGCCTCCTGTGATGATATTCGAGTGTTAGTCTATTTTGTTATAAATCTATAAATAATATTATCTTTTTTTTATATAAGAATTTTTTTTTTCTTTTTTTTAATTTAATCTCTGCATTAAAAATTATTCAAAGAATGCGTCTCATGTCCTTAGCCGCCCAAAAATTTGTTGCTGACATTGCAACCGATGCCTTCCAATATTGTAAAATTCGACAACAAAGTAAAAAGAATCTTGGAAAGGTATTTGATATAGAATTTTTAAGTTTATTCAAAAGGAATTTAAAAATAAATTGCTTTGAATTTTATAGCAACGTAACAAGACAGTCCTTAACCTAGAGGATCTTGCTGCTGCACTTTCAGAATATGGTATAAATGTCAAGAAGCCTGATTATTACCGTGCTTAAGTCATCTATCAAAAACATTAATTTTTATAATAGTACACTCGAATTTTTACAATATAATAAGTGTATTTAAAAAATTTTGAAAGTTGTTAAAGCCTGTGAGATTTAATCTCAGTAACATATAACAATAAATTGGGTGCTGAAAAGCTTGTAGTTAAGAAAGTTATTATTGGTTTTATATACTTGCAAATTTAAAGTGAGGGTTTTGTTTTATAAGTTCATCTAAAATTTGAAGTAATACTTGGGACAATTTATTTAAGGTTAAAAGGAATTAATTGTGAAAAATAAACTATCTAAACTTGTTAGTTTGGCTATCAGTATTCAATTTAGATTTAAACTGAATTTCAACCATTTATTTGTAACTGTAAATTATAATTTTATTGAATATTCAAATGGATTATGGATTTAAATCCTATTTTCAAGAATTATTATATTTAATTATAATACTTTTTTGCCAACTTATCTACCTGATTGTTATATACATATCATTAATAGCATATATGATGATTTTCTTGAAAAAGTTTATATTCAGTTATTCACATATAATATTTTTTTTTTATAATAAATCTGAAATCTTTATAATTTGAATATATTTAATAAATAATGGCAATATTGAATATAAATAAAATAATTGGTATCATGATTTTATAAAATATTAGATATATTAAATATTATAACAAATCCAATATAATATTTATTATTCTTTTATTATTAGCTAACATAAGAAAGATTAACATTTAAAATAATAAAAATAATTAGCCAAATAAAAAGTATTTACTAATTCCATTAGTATTTATATTTGTATAATAAATATATAGTTTAATTTGAAAAGTATAATTAAAGATAAATAAAAAAGTAAAATAACTTTACTTTATAAAAAAATAAAAAAAAAAAGGATTATTGTTTTTTAATAAAATTTGGTTGAATAAATTATAAATATAATTATAATATATTTAAACCAAAAATAAAAAATATATTTTATATTAGAAAATTTCTAAGTTTACACGGGGTGTTTGTACACGGGTCATATAAATATAATTTTTAATAGACTAATTTTTTGTTTTTTAATTTGAAATTGAATGCTACTTACATTATACTCTTTTACTTTTTATTCTTATTATATTACAGATAAATATATGTATTTTCACCTGCTCTGCAAGTTTACTTAAGGCATTAAAGAAGGTTTTGAATGCCGTTTTTAATCTACTAATATGACCGTGTTTAAACACCCTGTGTACAAATAGAAATTGCCTTTATATTATATATATAATTATTTTTTAATTAACAATTTCTATTTATATATAGATATTTAAATACAAATTTTCAAAAAAATAGATTTTTTATACTGATTATTAAGCAGAATTAATTTAACAAATAAAAAAAAAAGAATTTGTTAAATAAATTAAAATTGATATTTAAATTAACTTTTAATACTTTAAGTAAACTTGCAAAATAAATAAAAATAATTTTTTTTTATTATNGCTGAATTAAAATTATAAATTATGTTAAATTTATATAAATTATTATTATATTAAAAGAAAATCAGTTCAATTTATTTAAATATTATTCAAATATACTTTATAAATTTAAATGAATAGTTGAATATATATATATATATATATTTTTTTAATGATTTATATATGCTTTATTGATATGTAGTTTATATACCATACAAACAAATTATCATAAGCTATATTCACCCAGTAGGATGCAATCATCAAAATATAGATAAGAATAAATATAGAATAAAAAATAATTAGTGTTGTATCTATTGATTATAAAAATAATTAATATTATGTCTATTGATTATATTATAGAAATTATACTGTTGCTAAATCAATTATAACATTATTAACAACATTTTTTGTCTTTTTATAAGCCCAACTAAACCACCAGTTATTATTACTAATTAATAAACACATTTGATCTTGAGCTTTTTTTCCCATTCTATAGCATTTTGATAATATGAGATTTTCATTTTTTAAGTTTTCAAGCTGTACTGAATCCAATTCTAATGATGTATCACCAAACTCTACCATTTTATTTTCCTGTTAATTTGTTATATTATTCTTCTTTGATTGTTGTTTATTCTGTTTTAATTGCTTGATTTTTTGATGATTGTATTTAAAATAATGATCCATATTTTCAGATTCATTTAATTTGTCTTTTTTTCCAATATTTTTAGCCTTTTCCCATGCATTAGTAGCATTACATCTAGGCAACCAAATTAGTTCCTTAAAGTGCATGATAAAGGAATTCAAAAGTGAAGCCAAAAATAAAATGTTTTTTGACTCTGAGAATCCAAATATTTGTTTTGATATTTTGGAAAAATTAGTGTCAATCTTAGCTTCCAAGGCCAGTGAGCAAAAATCAAAAAATTTTTTATCATCATGTTGTGTTCCTAGTATCTGGTTTAATTTCTTGTTTATAATATTAGGTGTATCCTCTGTTGTATTACTTCATTTATGAATTATGGAAATCATATCATTTTGCATTTTGCTTTTGATTATAGGCCATAAGTTCTTATTGGCCATATAATATATATTATATATTTCTTTTAAATTATATTTATTAAAAATTTTTTTTATATAATTTTTTAATGCTAAAAAATTATTTAAATTACAAAAATAGGGTATTACTAAATATCACCAGTGGTGATCATTACCACACCACTTAATTCTGGCTGAAAATTATAATTTTGGCCAGAGTTAAAAAACACATCATAATTTTTTTTTAAAAAATTTCAATTTAAATAATAAATGTATAAAATAAACCTGAGTAGATACTAATCACACTAAAATTTTGAAAATTTGACTAAAAAATCTTTTTTAAAACAAAAAATTGTATTTTACTTATAAAATCAAACTTTCCTATTTTTCTCAAAAACTATCTAAACAACAGCCTTTATAATTTAAGACAAACTTGTTCTACCCATAAATTTACATATAATAATGATATTTATATTATAATTAGAATAATGTCACAGTCAAAAATTTTTGAAAATTCAAAAAATATTTTACATGTGATAACGATCACCACTGGTGATATTTAGCAATACCCACAAAAATATATATAGTTTGCTCAAAATAAGTCCAATTTTTATCATTTAAAATGCAAAATAAACTTAAATATTAGGACATTTTCATGATCATAATGCTTTTTTACTTTTTGAAAAAATTAACTATAAGTATTAATTTTTGAAAAACTAATATGATGTAAAATTTGTGAATTTAGAATGGATATAATCATTAAAAATTTCTCAAATATTATCAAAACTAATAGAAAAGTATAAATTAAAAAATTTTTTTTGACTATCTACTGCATGATTAAAACAATAAAATTATATGATTTAATTAGTAATTTTTGGCTAAATATTTAAACAATAATTTTGTTAATAATATATTAAAAAATTCTTTAATTTTTAATATTTAATGCTTAATAATATTAAGTTGGAATCTAGTTAATTTGCTATTATTTTGGGTAATATTTTATTAATTTCAAAATTATGGTCTTTTCTTAATGTTAATTTATATCTGATATATTATATTATAATGGATATTTTTAATATTGCAAAAAATTATTTTCATTATATTTTAGTTTAAAGAAAAATATTTATCAAATTATAATAAAATTTTTTAATATTTATTCCTAATCTTGCTGCATTTTATGCAATACTTTGTATAATAAAAATACAATAATATTAAATGTTAATTAAAGTAGTGTTCCAATTCATTAATTTCATATTTATATCTGTGATTAGATATCCATCATTTACAGTTATCAGATATGTATTTTTGTAAATAGATCAGATGAAAGGAAATTGAAAATATTCACTTCAAATACTCATTACTTATAAGATATTCTAGATTTAAATCAGGCTAAATTTATAGTACTAACCTGAAATATGAAATTTGTGTAATATTATGTAATATAAAAATTTAGCCAAAAATTTATATAATCTAGGGGCAGTATATAAAATTCATATGCACAATGTACATACATATACATTTTAATTTTTATATGCATAATTTTTAAAATTCAATGTGCATTATTGTGCACAGCATAAAATTTCTTAAAGAAAATATTAATAAAATTAATAAAAATGTGCACTATTGTGCACAAAAATTTTTTAATTGTGCACAAAAAAAAATGATTTATATGCATATGTAGGACTCCACTTACTTATAATAAAGGTCATCGTAAAAAATTGGTCCTCTACTAATAGTTTTTACCTTACTTTTTTCTTAAATTCTATTGGTTAATTAGCTAAAAGGGAAAAAAATCATAACAATGTAACATAAAATTTCCTTTTATAGTAGGATCTGCAAAGAATTTATATATGATTTTTACCTTAGCCTGGGGTGACCTATCTTATAAGTAAGCAGGGTCCTGCATATGTACATATAATTTTTTTCAGATTTTATATACTGCCTAGGGGATAGATAAATATATGGAAAGACCAACTTATGGTTATACAAATATACACAGTGAAATTCGATATAATAGAACCATCCGTTCCAGTAAAAATATCCGGTATATCGAGACTTCCGATATATCAAAAAATTTAAAAAATTTCGATATACCGGATTTTATATATAAATCACATGAAATTCCGTTATATCAAGTTTTTATTTGTGCGACATGTGCGACGAACATTGAAAATTTAGATTATTTTTATTTAAAACATTATTTGAGAAATTTTATACACTGAAATTTACCAAAACTTAAAAAAATTTTGCTTTTTCTTACTATCTGAAATAATTTTTTATAAAAAAAAATGATGTTGCTCAAAAAAAATGAGATTATCTGTATCACGTGAAAATACTGTAATTTTATTGGTTTAAAATTGTGAATCGTCATGTGTTCTGGTATATCGAACCATTTTTATTATAACCGTTCTATTATTTGTTCCGTTATAGCTATTATCGAGATTTTACTAATAAATTCCGTTATATCAAACTTATTTTAATATATGTGATTTGGTTCCGAAAAAAAGTTCCGGTATAAGGCCAGTTCCGGTTTATTGGGGTTCCGTTATATCAGATTTCACTGTGTATATGGATTACAATGATCTTATTTTAATAAAAAAGTGATAATTATGATATGATACAATCACACCATGACAGCACATTATAAAGCTATACATGATATAAATTTTATTGCCTTTGTGTTTTTAGTTTTAAGATATTTAACATTAGCTACTTAAAATACCTTAAAATTATATAAAATTTTATTATTTTATTATATACTTAAAAATAATATATAATAAGTAAAAATATTACGTAACTCTTTAATCATAATCATGTGATATATGATGATTACATGATTTACGCAGAATTTTAACTACTCCAAAAACACTACCTAGGGGTGTGGGGGTCTAACTGGTTGGTTATACAATATAATTTTGTATTACCAAACTGTCCCACTACCGTCACCCCTGAATTTTATTATTTTAATATATCCAAGACATTCCAAGCCTAAAACTTTTGACGCATAACGTTTCTAAAAGCCGATGTTCGAAAGTAGATTAGTATTGGTAAGAGTCATATATTGGCAAATTTTCATGACTATTAGAGCGTTATTGGGTTTCTCAAGTTAAAGTTTTAATATAGCTTATTAGAAAAACTATTATTTCGAAATATATATTAAAAAAATTTTTTTAAAAAACAATGAAAAATATGTTTTTAACAATAAATATCACTTTTATATTAAAATTTTATTAAATACATTCTCTTTTATTAGTGAAAACTGCATACAACTATTTATTGTAGATATTTACTATAGACAATATTTTTTTCAGTTTTTTTTTAAAAAAAAAGGTTTAAAAGTTATTATAAATTAAAAGTCTATATAAATAACGTTTTCTTGTAATAAATAAACTTGTTTTACTTGTTTTAGACTTCTAAATATTGATTTATTCATCATAAATACTAAAATAAAACTGCTGATGTTGTTTTTTTCTTCTCAGAGAATGTCCAAACATTATTTAAAGTACTTGGATGCGACAAAACAGATGTAAAGATGATCACGTTTCAAGGATGACATAATTGGGTGGCTGGTTTTTTTAATTGCAGGGGTATTTTGTTCACCGATCATCGTAATTTACTAATAACGTATATGAATTTATATGGAGGACAGTTTTGATTTATTAGACTTATTGTATATTATATTGTGTAACCAACCAGTTGGACCCCACACACCCCTAGACACTACCAAAAAATTTTTGGTAATGTGACTTGATGAGTTTTATTGGTCAGATTTATTTTGTACAAAAAATTTTCGCAGCTTTTTTCAAGAAAAAAAATAAAATGAGAACATTTATCTTAAAAATACTTGTAGATTTTATAAAAAAAAAAATTAAAGAAATGTTTAATTTAAACATTTCTTATCAGTTATAGTTCTTTTCACTTAATAAAATTTATTGTTGGTTTTTTTTATTAAAATAAGTGTATAATTTAATAATAGTAATAAAAGATAATTTTTATAATGTATTAAATGGAAAAGTCTTATTCTTATTCAAAACTTGATAGTTTACAGTACCTTTATACACCCAAGGTTGTAAATAAATTTTGTATTTAATATAAAAAACGCGTTTTTATTTTCACAACAAAATAAAATACAATTAGATTTTAAAGAACATAGAATAAAGTAAACTATATTTCAAGGGAAAATAGTAGTACAAAGTCACGTTACCGAAAATTTTTTGGTGGGGTAGTTCAGAATTTTTGGGTATACTGACGTAATGTAACACGAATTAAAGTCACGTGAAGTAAATTTTTTAAGTTTTTAAGCCTGCTGCGCCTGTTGGTATCCAATTTTTTTTAAAAAAAATGGGTAACGAAATAACACCAAAATCTGCAGAATTAACAGCTCGCCAATTAATGGGACAAAAAGACGCGATTGAAAATGAATTGAAGGAATTGGAACAGATACTAAAAGGAGTAAATACGGCATGATTTTTTGAAAAATATATTTTTTCTTTTGGTTCATTAACGTTTATATATCAAATATTAGCAAGGTGTTGAAATGGATGAACCTTTAGTTGATGAGTCAGGATTTCCACGCGATGATATCGATTTAGTAGCCGTTAGAACTGCTCGTTCAAAATTAATTTGTGGGTTGACTCTTAGAAATCAAAAATTTTCTTCGCATATACTAATGATTTTAGTGAACAGCCTTACGAAATGATCATAAAGATATAATGAAACAAATTGAAGAAGCCCTTCATGCAATGCATGCAGAAAATAAAGCAAATAAGGAAGATAAGTCGGTTGAAACAGGTTTGTATAAATTAAAAATGGTTATTTATGAAACTCTAACATACTTACTTTCTTAGCCATAAATCGTCCGAGGCCTTTTGCTATCGTTAATTCGGTAGCACCAGATTCACCAGCAAGAGAGGCAGTAAATACAATTACTATTAATTACTCTTTTAATCACGAATTGACACTCAATGCCTTTTTCACGAATAGGGTTTATTAAAAGGAGATGAAATTACTCGATTTGGGTCGATCCATTCGGGAAATCACCAAAAATTACAGGCTTTAAACACATATGTAGTAGATAATGAAGGGGTGTGTATGTTAATCAGAGTTTTTTTATCATACAAGTATATTATTAATATTTAATTATTTTTTTTAGAAATCCATTAATGTAACAATTGAACGCGGAAAAGAAAAATTAGTATTACAACTGACACCAAAACGCGGATGGGGTGGAAGAGGACTTCTAGGGTATGTTAATAAATTAGTTAATGAAACTAATTTTTGAAAAATTTATTAACTTTCTCTTTTTATTTCTTAGTTGTCATATTAGTTTATTAAAGTAATATTCATTACATCATTATTCTTAAAATTTTCTTGCAATTTATTCACAAATAATTGGAAATTAAATTGGCTAAAAAGCCTACATGCAAAATTAATTAAAAAATATATATATATGCGCAAAAGTCCATTTACATTTACTAAATTAAATACTATTAAATATGCAATGTTTCTGAATTCTTATTAACAAAATGCAATTAAATATTAATGTCTGAACGCTTTAGGCAAGCAAGGCAAACAAATATGCCTCTACTATCTTTACCTTGTAGGATTATCTAGATAATGGACCTGATCTTCTTAGTATTATTAATGTACTAAGCCACAGGTCACAAACTGAACTAACAATTACATCCGTCATCCTGTTTACTTTCCGTTTGTGTTACATTTACATTATTGCTAGGTGAAGGCTTTTTCTGCCATAAACTTGGTGTTTCAAGAATCTAAGAAGAATTTTCAATAAATAGAGATTATCTTTGTAATACAAAGCGAAGAAAAACTTTACCTTTCTAACAAGTTCTTCAAAAGCATCCTTGACTCCATATCTAGTTTTGGCACTGCACTCTAGAAACAAAGTATGAGACTTTCGTGCGTATGCTTCAGCTTCCTTACGTGAAATCACACGTTGCTCTTCCTTTATTATTAATAATATAAGCGTTATCTAAAAGTCTTAAAAAAAGAAATATTGTAATTCGATTAAAGAATACCTTATCAACTTTATTTCCAACTATCATTTTGACAACGTCTTTGTTTGTACAATAAGTACTCAATTCATTAAACCAGTTATCAAGCTGATCAAACGTTTCACGATTGCTCACATCGTAAACTGTCATGTAAAAATAAATAAAATATTAGCAAACCGTTCTTCAATGAACTTAGAAACTAGTAAAATGAAAGTAATAAAAGCACCAAGAATGACGCCTTGAGCACCACGATAGTAAGAGGACGTTAGCGTTCGGAAGCGTTCTTGACCTGCAGTATCCTAAAAATTTATAGTTTATTAACACAGAGACTAAAAATATTATAAAACCATGAGTAAAGGTACATACCCAAATTGTTAATTTATATTTTTTTCCCTCGAACATCATGTCTTGAACTTTAAAATCTACACCTGAAATTAAGAACAAATTAAGTAATTGTAGTTTTATGACAATAACTGATCTAAAGCCAGAGTCATTAATTTCAAACTTCTTATTTATATAAGATTGAGGTTTTGAAGCAAATTTTAAAATGTAATATTACCAATTGTAGCTGCGACCTCGTCTTGCGGCAAAAATGTGTCCTCAGTAAAACGCAAAAGTAAGGACGATTTTCCAACATTCGAGTTACCAATGAGAAGAATCTTGAGTGTCGCTTCGTAACCGTCAATTCCTGCCATATTATTTATTATTAATTAATTAAAAAATAAGAGGAAACTTTTAAATAGAAGTTGAATCAATTATGGCGGTAAACAAAACGCGGAGTCTATATTTCTTCTGACTCGAAATTGATGTCATGCCAGCTAACCTATTCAATCGTCGATCATGACCAATAAAAGGTTGAAGATCAGACCAAGACCCTGCCCGGCTTTTAGATTTGAACTAATCATAAAAGTAGAGATTATCGATAAAAACTACTTTAATTTTATTACTCCTACCTTCGTTACAGACTAGGGTTGGGGAGAGGCTTTAATTTGATTAATGGACTGAGATTTTGAAATTTTTAACTAGTGATAATTTCTTAGTGAATTGTATCCTATACGTTTCTCTTATGTAATAAAAAACCATAACCGTCTTATAAACTTTATAACTAACAATTTATTTCATTTCCTACTTAAAAGAAAATTTATTATTTAACAGTTAAAACTTGTTCTTTCTCATCAGCTTATCTTGACGAAATTCTTCACTAAAGTGTAATTGCGTCCCCTTTTTTTAGAAGTTTTTCGCAATATTCTTCAAACACCTTTGCAGGGATTTGTATATAAAGCTAAATTCCTAAAAATTTAATAACAATTATGACAGCATATTTCCATATTTCCTTATTAAATATTATATATTAAAATAACTTACAAATTTTTATTTGAAATTTTAGTTTTTAAACAAGGATTTTTTGATATGTACATTCTACAAAGGCCAAATAATAATATCTTAATAATATATAAAAAAATAACAAAGCGAAACCGTTTAAGTTAACGGGAGATATAATTTACAACTCGGAAATTTTGTTAAATAAAATAGGAATGGTTTTGATAAAAAAGGAATGGTTTGCATAAGAGGATATTAATAGTTTGAAAAAGACCTAGTTTTTAATTTATCACTATTATATAACCCCATGAGAAACTTTACTTTTTGACAAATTTCAGCTACAAAAACAAATATTCAATATAAAATGTGAATAATAATAATAATAATAATAATAATAATAATAATAATAATAATAATAATAATAAAAAGACTTACTAGCTACTTTGGAGGATTCTGCCTCAAAATCATATGTCTTTGTTCCAGTATCTCGATATACTTCTAATTTAAAACTAGATTGAGCTTTTTTACTTATCTTACATGATATAACAGATGTAATATGATATGATGACTATTATAATATCGTTTAAATATTGTTAATAAATTAAGAAGATAATGTATTAAAATAACTCTAGTTACATACCGTTTTCATTGATTCAAACATTGTTCTAGTTTCTGAAGGCATAATATGAATGTAATCCCCATCTATTGCTAATACACGTTCATGACGTCCAACAAACATTGGTATTTTTCGGTTAACCGTATATTTCTAAATATATTAGTTAATTAAACATTATAACTAAAATTTAAGATAATTATAGAATGAATCATTTATATTACCTTATATACAGACATGTATTCATTGGATGACACATATTGTGGTTGAGGAGGTTCATTAAGTGTTCGTCGCTTAGATTGTCTTTGCTCTTTGGGTGCTAAAAAATATGTTTATGTTAGTTGGAATTAATTAAATTAATAAGCTAATACATTGACTTACTTGTAGGACTAGATGGAGGGGATGGTTTTTTTACAAGAGCTAATTCCTGAGAATTTCCAACACTTTCCACAGTCTTTTCAAGATCTAAATAGGTGCTTGTATCAGCAATTTTAAAAGTATAATCCTTGGGTTCTAATTTACGCTTACGACAAACCATGTCAAGAACACTATAAAAATGCGTATCAGCTGGTACATTTATAGTTGTAGTATGCGCAACCTCAGCGACTTCAGAATAAGGTGTAAGCCTAATTCGTAAAAATATTTGATTTGTCAAATCAATAGCAGATGATACTACTGTTGTACTCGATGTAATGGCTGAATTTGTATTAACTGTAGATCCATTTGACTTTATAGATGGACTAGCTAATGGTTCCTTAGGTGATGGTTTTGATTTAGCAGAAAGTGATATATTCTGTTTAACTGAATTATTATAAATCAAATATGAGCATTTTAGTTCCAAAATAATAAAATAGTATAAATAGAAGGGCATTAAACAAGATAACTAACCCTGATTTGGATTTGCTTTACATAATGCAAACTGATCAGTGGCAAATTTGGATATTTCCCGTGTTCTATCGGGAACTATAATAGAAATATAATCTAATTAAAATTTACTCAACACTATTTAAATAAGGACATAACAATAACATAAATACCGGGAAAATCAAAATCTATTTCACCATCATCTTCCACTATTCTCATAGTCCATTGTAAAACATCACAAAACTTTGGTTCCAACGCAGGTTCTCTTTTTTCATCCCAATATTGATATAAAGTATACCCAATAACTTCCTCAACTGTAGCATCTCTTTTGACAACAACAACAAGTGGGTGTAAAGGTTTATTACTAAACGGAAGATATATTTTCAAAGTTAACGGATTGAGGTCTCCTTTTCCAGCAAAAAAGCTATATTCTTCCACAAATGGATTATCTAATTTACTCTTCTTTTCTACTATTAATGCTGTTAGTGCAGAAAACGGTTTGGGTTTTGAAATAACTTTTGTTGAGTCTGGTAAAAGTTTTCGTTCTTCTGCAGTAGATAATGAAGGTCTCGGAGGTGGACTAGATGATATATCTGTTCCATCCGTCGTCAATAATGATGCTTCCGAACCTCTTCTATCAGCAAGAACTTTGTCGCTTTCGGCTGATGTAGTTGGTGATAGTTGTGGCGTTTGTTCAGTAGATGAAATTCCAAGTATACTATCTGGTGAAGTTATCAATGCACCACCTCCAGGTGAAAATGAATGAGCTAAACTTGGACGTGAAGTCGGCGGTTTTGAAGGGGATGTTATAAATACTGGTGGAGGAGCTACAATTTGTTTAGGTAAATGTCGTTTTGTAAATAAAGGTGGTGGTTTTTTACTATAATAATTAACAAATAATGCATAAATAATTTGAGAAACTTAAAGAAATCATTGTTACTTATTGCTACAAAAAGTAAAATTTATTAATCACATATTATTAAACTCTTACCTATTATCCTCGTCGTCAATATAGATATCGTCGTCACTATCCCCGTTTTTGTTATTGTTAAAACTCGAATCTTCTCTAACAGCCTGCGTAGAAGTTGTATCTCTGCTTCTATTTGAGTGAGTTAACGGTTTAGGCCGACCTCCCGATATCGGTGAACCAGCAGCGCTACTCGCTATACTTTTGCTACTAAAATAATCATTCCCCGACATACTAATGTTCGGAGAATGACATGCCAACATCTCTGGATATGAAGGTGCGGCGGTCTTAATATAGTCATTTGAAAGAACAGTTGGGTTAAAAGTTATAACACGCTCGCCAATACGATCTCCAACACGACGGAGATAACCTATACGAAGTTGGTGAATAATATAACTTTGTAATGATCGGCTACATTAGCAAAATTTTACTTTTAAGAATGTAACCCGTTTATTACAAATAAATAACCACACTTACTCTGGATCATTCAGCAGAGACATTGAAAAAAAAAAGATAGTGCCAAAGCAAACTGTTTGTGCGTTAATCTAGCATGGGCAATTAGAAAAAGCTGTAATATTAGGAGCTTTGTTTATTAAACTTCATATTAATAAAGTTTGGTATTCGGGTATTCAAAGTGTCCAGTCAGTCGGTATAATATACTATAACAGATAATATACGAACATAGTTACCAAGTGAGTAACATAAAGTCACATGAAATTTTTACGTTCGTAACAAACAGTTGAATAGTGTAACACTATAGGGGTAAATTTACATTTAAACCTACACAAACTTATTATTAATTTATGTTCTTAAACTTATATTAGTTATAATTTTATATAACAAATTTATATATTATATAAACTTGAGCTGCCAAAATTTTTCATAATGAATGCTTTATAAGTAAAGTAATTAAGGTAATTTCAATATTAAAAATTACCTGTTAGATAAATATATATTAATAAATAAATTAACAAATTTATTTTTTTTAAATGTGACTTTTACATTTTTTAATGAATTTTATATTAAATTTTAAATTATTAAAATGGGAGTTATTTCTATATTATATATTTCAATATTTTAATATATTAAGCTATATACCTTTCTTTATTATACTAAAAAATTTATTTTTTTTTTGCAAGGTAGTGCAATTTGTAAGTTTATTAATTATATGTAAGAGTGTAGAATAACTGTTATATAATTAATTTATTAAAACTTCAAACCAGTTCCCCATCTATAAGATTGCTCCTGTGCCAGGACCCCAGACATCTCTTATAGAACTCACAACTGACTTTTTGCCAAAAAAGACCCAGTTTGCTCTTTTTTATTTTCCGTTTTTTGCGATTATCTCAGCATTCAGTGATCCGATTCATGCGGATTATTTTTTATTTTGTAGAGATCGATGAGAGCTACAAAATAAAAAAAAGTTCGTACAAATTGGATCACTGGATGCCAAGATAATCGCAAAAAACTGATTTTTTTTTGTGAAATTTAGGTCAATCTGCGAAAAAGTTGCCACTGAGTTATATATGTAATGTCTGGGGTCCTCCTGTGCCCTACCATCACCTTATGAAATTCACCTGTATCCTTCAATAATAACTATTGAATTATATAGGATCATTATATCATAAAGCTTCAGTATGTGCTTTTACTACCCTTTAAACAAAAAAAAAAATAAGGTTATGTTAAATTTGTATATTTTTATATTATTATATACCTTCCATAATACCCTATTTCCTTCTCTAATGAATTGATTCATATGATATTGTCTTGCTTTTCCTAATGCTATTGACCATTATTCATTATGTTTCAAGATTTTTCTGTTTTCCAAGTCATATATGCCATTCTCCTTCTGCAATGTTAGAATTCTGTTATATACAATGCATTGATGTGTTAGTGACCTTTTCATTTTTTTACTCCTTTAATATGTTTTCATTCTGCTACTGCTTTACAGCATAATTGCCAAATAATATTGTAAAATTCATTAACAAATGTTTCTAAGAAAAGAGCTACTATAGTTAATTCCATTCTTTTTGATTTGACAATAGTCTTAAGTTCTCTATATTTACTTTTTGGAAAGTAGCTTCTTAACATTAAGTATATCATATAAGGAATAGGCAAATCAAAATTAAAAATTTCTTGAATATTTAATTACATTTACATATAGTATTATTGGCTATAGTTGTCCATTTATTTTTAAGTTGTTAACAATATATATATCATATGTTCATCATCTTTATTTTCTTCAAGATAAAACCTATACTTTGCATTTTCATATAAGTCATATCTTCTTTCTTTCATGATTTCCAATGTTAAGAGCAGATAATTTAGGAGTTTCAAATGTTTAATAAATCTGTTATTTATTAGTGATGTTATGCAATTATTATACTAAAAGATTAAATAGTAATCAATATAAAAATAAGAGTAATGCTAAATCTTACCAGTGATAATTATTACCACTGGTAATTATCACCACTTAATTCCAGCCAAAATTACAATTTGGCCAGAATTATAAAATGCCAGTTTAATAATTTTAGCCAGAGTTAAAAATCTAATCATAAAATTTTAACTTAAATAATAAATATATTAATAAATATTGAAGTAAAAAAATTAAAAAATTAAAATTTTGCATTTTTTTTAAAAATTATCTGAAAAAACAATCTTTTTGATTTTAGGCAAATTTCTTCTTCTTATAAATTTACATATAAAATAACTATTTAATATACAAAAGGTAGCTAAAATTATCTAAACACTTGTAATTATCTTATCATCCAATATTATCAAGTTTAACCTCTTTATTACACATACACTGTACAGTTATTTTATTAATAACTTCCAAAAAATGTGTGTTCTTTTAGTAATGTTCCAATTTATCACAATTTTTAAAGATAATGTTATCAAATGTATAAACTATTTTAGGCTTTTTTATTACTGGGTTGTTTGCGATACATTTTTATAATATTTTTTAGACTTTCTCATATTTGTTTTATTTACATATAATTTTGTAAACAATTTACAACTTGCGTAAATAAAATAATATTTAAATAAACACGCTAAATAATCTTACCTTATTAATTGTATGAACATTTGAAATTTTACCTTATAAATAAATGTAACATCTTTAAAAAATATATAGATTTTACCTTATTAATTATAAGTTACATTTTAAAAAAAATGCATCTATTTTATTATATATTATCAGTTATATAAAAAGAATTTACCACAAAATTTCAGTTATATTTTTTAATATCTAATAAATTTACCTTATAAATTCAACCAGTTTTTTTAATTATTCTATGTAATTTTTATCTTAGGTACTTCTATTAGAAGTAAGCAGAATCCTATTTTAACATATTAAAAAGATATGTTCTCTTTTTTTGTTAGTTATATTTTTAATTTTATTTCTTACTAACTATATTTTTTTTTCTTTATGCCATTCTTTAACTTTTTTTTTTCAATATTATGTGACATGTTTTGCTTTTAACTTGCTTTTATTTGGTCATTAACTTTTTTTTATGGGTTTACTTTTAATAAACTTAATTATAAGGGTTTTTTTTTTTTTCTTTATGATGGATATTTTTTTTATTTTTTAGTCTTTAGATTCTTATTTTATTATTTAATTTTTATTTTTTACTAACTATTTTTTTTTTATTCTTTACTCTATACTACTTTTTAACTTAATATATTTTACTTTTCAATATCATAAATAAATTTTACTTTTTGACTTTATAGACTTTATCATCATTTTATTCTTTAACTTTTTTTATAAATTTCATTTTTTATTCTTATAGCTTTGTTCTTTGTTTGCTTTGTTATTGTCATATATTTTTTTATGTATATATACCATAAGGTGACATAAAGTTAAAAAATTTGTTCTCATATTCTAACTGGATTATCAGAGCAGAAATCTTAAATTTTTATTTTTTTTATTAACCAATCAAATTGCTCTAAACTATATCATATGATAAATTAAATTTATACGCATATCTGATAAATCATAACACTATCTATTATGTAAATACCTAACATTTAATGAATAATAAAAAAAAAAGAATTTAAAAAAAACTACAATTAAACATGAAAATAAACTTGTAATTAACTTGATATATAAAATCTGTTTATGACTTTTTATTGAATTAACTATATTAATATAAATATACATATGAAATCTTCTGTATTACATTGATCAGATAAAAAAAAAATTTATTTTAAAAAAAAATAAAAAGCTATGCGACCGGGTTAAATTAAAGCAATTTTGATATAAGAACCAATTTTTTAATTTTATATCACCTAATTACTAATCCTGTTAAAAATAAATAAAGTATAAATTTGATAGTTTTTTTCTAATTAATAAACTTTGATTAAATGTTTTTAAACCATTATAGTACAAAAAAATTTTACAAATAAAAGTATTGCAAATTTTTTAGTAACGAAAATAAATTAAATTAACCAATCAAAATTGATTGGTGTAAAATATAAATTTTTAGGAGGTGGTTTCTCCTGGGTTATTTAACCCAAAGGGCAAGTTAGCAAAACTTTATTTATAAATATATTAATTTAATAATAATAATTTTAAGGGTTTAAATTTTATATGCAGGTATGTTGCAACACACCTTTATTTTATCTGATATTTATAATTATAACTTATAACAATTATAAAGCATTTAATTGCTAATTCGGTTAAGATCGGCAGTGTTTTACTATGTAAAATCAGGGCAAAAAAAGAAAATAATTATCTCTTGATCCAATGATCCAATTTCAATGAACTTTTTTTTGTTTTATAGATCTTGATTTCCTCAATAAAATAAAAAATTTATTGAAATTGAAATACTAAATTATAAGAAAATCGTGAAAAAGTATTTCATATTATTATTATGACTAAATTTTAGTAAATCATAAAAAAAGAATTGATTCCTAATTCAGTGATCCAATTTCAATAATTTTTTTTTGTCTTTTAGGTCTTAACCTCTTCTTCACAATAAAAAAAAGTTTGTCAATATTGGACTGCTAGATCGGAAGATAATCACAAAGATATATTTTGCCATATCATGAATCTAAAAATCGTCTGGCAAAATATGTTTTCGCAATTATCTCACGATCTAGAGGCCCAATTTTGACAAAATTTTTTTATTATGTAGAGATTATTGAGATCTAAATAACAAAAAAAAGTTTATCGAAATTGGATCACTGAATCGGGAGATAATTGTCTGCTTTGTTATTAATGGAATCTGATCGTTGTCAGTAAAATATGTTTTTGTGATTATCTCACAACCTAATGGTCCAATTTCAATGAAATTATTTTTATTTTATAAAGGTAATCCAGACTTACAGAACAAAAAAAAGTTCATCAAAATTGGATTATTAGATCATATGATAATTATTTTTATTATTTGCACCAATTTCCCCAATTTTACATAGTAGGACACTGCTGATCTTAACCGAATTAGCAATTAAGATTATTATTATAGAAGAAAGAAAACATAAAATCATTCTTTACCTTAAAAAGTAGAAAAATCTAAACAATCTTATTGGTAAAAAGTTCAATATTGAAGATAAGTATTGTTAAAGTAAGAATTCTAATCATTTATATAAAAAAGGTAGTAATTAATTGTTTATTACATTCTGCTGATATTATCAATCTTTATACTTAGTTTATGAATTGAATTTGGATTTAATACAACAAAATAATTACTGGCTTATATAAATTAAATTTTGGGTATAAATTTATATATACCTAATTGCCTATTGGTAAAAGTATTAATTTCCTACATATGATAAATATATATGATTATATATGTAAAAAATTTGATAAAAATATTTCATAATATAAAATATACTTAAAATCATTTATTAATTAAAAATATTTGAAAATAAAAACTTTTTCTATCACTGAGTTTAAAAGTGCAGATTATATAATATGTGAAGTTGCCTTTCTAAATTAATGAGTTTAATCAAAACAGTATCAAAACTATTCTAAAAATTTCAAAACTTAAGATAAAAATTAATTTTTTATTTTCAAGTTAATAATTGAATTATAATTAACATTTTGTTCATTCTACGTCTAATAGTATTTATATATATAGCTTTATTTTGTAAAGAAAAAAAATATATAGAAAATAAATCTAGTTTAAAAAACAAAACTAAATTATCTTTTAATAAAGTAGCAAAAATTAAAAACAATAATTGGAAAATATGAAACACTTTGTATGATTCCAATTTGGTAGTAATATGCTAAATTTTTGAAAATTGTCTCGACAAGCTACCGTCAATAAGAACTTGATATGGAGGTTGATCCTATCCATAAGAGGGCAGCTCTTTTTATAATGCTTTTTAAATAGGCCTTCTATCTTGTATACCGTACTTTACTTTGTTTTTACTTTTGTAAGGTAAGTATAAAAGTATTTGATTATGCAAATTGGTAATTAGTAAAGAACTTACAAAATATGAAAATTTTATTGTTAATAATATTAAATTCTTTCAGATTTTAAACATTATTTTATAGTTTGTTTAACAAAAATTTATGTAATCGGTAATTTATAAAATCCGGTATTTATTCCGCCGGTATTTTTTTTATACTACCACCTGTTGTGTGAAGAATTTCAAACAAATTTAATAAACTATTCCAATTATGGCAAATAAAATATGATTGGTTCGGTATAGCACATGCATATGTAGGACAAAGATGTTTCGATAAGCTACACAAGAGTGATACACAATACTCCACAAATTAACCCCAACAATGTTTGTTTGAATCCCCTCAAAGTCTCGAACTGATCATTTATTAAATAAACATTTCGGTTAATTGTAACCCTAATGAATAAGTGAAAAAAAAATTTTAATTTTGGAATAGTAAGTTAAGAAATGAAAACCAATCAAATTTATGATAAATTAGCACAAATTAGCACAAACGCCCCACGCCTCCACGATCTACCCCCTTTTTTCTTTGACTTCGGCATTTGACCCTACTTTTTTATAATTTTATAATTGTGCAATAGGGGCCTACTATGATTTGTGTTCCTGCGGAGATTTTGAAATGCCACATTACTCATGCCACAACGGATGCCACCAACATTTAGTACCCTAGATCAGTTTTTGCATCACCGTATAGCAGGTAGCACACTCACATTACTCAAGAGCCTAATTGCAAGGCGACTTTTTTTTTCGTATCTGGTCAAACGGTACATTGCTCCGGCCTCTAAGTGTTCCCGTTCTACCATCGCCGCATCTGCTAGCTTTGCCTAAAACCTATTCTTCCCAAAACTAAAGAGAACTCCTTTGCTCCCTACTACCAACACACAACCTAATAAAAGATGTCTCACGTAAGTTTTGAATCTTATACTTTACTGCGCGTTTCTTGAATTTCGTAAGAGTTAGTGATCGTTTTTTGGATGGGTTGCTATTTAGTTGTGTCTTTAAAAAAGTTAGATAATATAAACATAACCTCCCATAAATACTATGCATTTGTTTTCTTGATATTATATCATTGCACTTTCTAAACACGGTCATTCTTCATATTTTTTCTTTAGGAACGCGAGAACCAGGTATTTGACCGCGTAGAGCTTTAATCTTAATTATTACTATTATTATTTGTTTGTATAATTATTTCAAGGAAAATGTGACAAAAAATTGTTTGATTTTTACTTGTTGTTGACCTCCAACAAAAAGGTTTATATGGCTAAGCTCGCTGAGCAAGCCGAACGTTATGATGGTAATATTTTATTTTTATTTTTGAAATTTGAATATTTTTTACTTTTTTAATTTAAATTTATCTAAAACCTACACTTGCACAATTGCACAATTGAATCCGATTGATCAGAAATGGTATCTTATATGAAGGTATTTATCCAAGAAATATATTATTTTTAATTTATTTTTTTTTTTTTAAAAAAAAAAAATTCATTTGACTAAATATTATTCAATACTTGCTTAAATTATAGGATGTTGCAAAGGTATTTTTCAAAATTTTACAGAACAATACATAATTATTTTTTTATCATTACTTATTATTATTCGAATCATAATTTATGAATTATTGTACAAATTGTCATCGATGATATATTATTACTAGCTTGGAGTAGAACTTACTGTAGAAGAACGCAATCTCCTCTCAGTCGCTTATAAGAATGTAATTGGTGCCCGTCGAGCGTCTTGGAGAATTATTTCATCTATCGAACAAAAGGAAGAAAATAAGGGTAATGAAACCCAAGTTCAGAAGATCAAAGCTTACCGTCAAAAAGTTGAAACCGAACTTTCAGAAGTATGCTCGGATATCCTTGCCGTATTGGACGAGCATTTGATTCCATCTGCTGAAGCCGGTGAATCTAAAGTCTTTTATTATAAAATGTAAGTGAATTTATAATAATTTATAAAAAATTAATTTTGTTGTTTTAACCTAATGTTGTATTACAGGAAAGGTGATTATCACCGATATCTCGCTGAATTTGCTTCGGGTGAAAGACGAAAAGAAGCCGCCACCCAGGCTCACGAAGCTTATAAACACGCAACAGATATCGCCCAAACTGACCTTGCTCCAACTCATCCTATTCGTCTTGGACTTGCATTAAACTTTTCAGTTTTCTACTACGAGATTCTCAATTCACCTGATCGCGCTTGTCATCTTGCAAAACAGGCATTTGATGATGCTATTGCTGAACTCGATACTTTAAGTGAAGAATCGTATAAAGATAGCACATTAATTATGCAACTACTTAGAGATAACTTGACCCTTTGGACTTCAGACTTGCAAGATGGTGAGTTTGTTTGTTTATAAATAATAAATGTGAAAAACTGTGTAGTCTAAATATTTTTTTCGAATTTACAGCAGAGGGTGAAAAACCGGAAGAAGCTAAACAAGAAGTTGAAGCTGAAGAATCTAAGTAGCAATAGTTAGTTAATTTTATTAAAAAATATATATTTCACACTTCATATATATAAAAATCAGGTTTCCCTCATATTTACATTAAGCGTGATCAAGTTTTTTTTTATTTTTTTTTTTCGTTTGTTTATTGCAAGTTCGTTTTCTATGTGTTTGGTTCTTTTGATGGTTTTTATGGTCTGTGTTTGGGAATTCCATTTCGGGCGGTCTGTTTGTTACAGGGGTGTGGTGGTAGTGTGTTGCTTTCAAGGAGTCCTTTTTTTGGTGAATTTTATTCTGTTTCATCTTTCCCTCTACCCTCCCTATTTTATTATATAATACAATATTACCTTTTATTAAATACAAGAAAGCCTAAAAAAACGGAATAACAATACAAAGAAAAACTTTATTTATCAATTAAAATGTTCTTCGATGTATATTGGGTGCGGTGGAAAATGATAAAGAAATAGTATATGGAACGAGATGATGCTTTTGTTATGTAAACTGTATTTATAAATCAAAGGATAAAACATGTGGAATAAAAAATTTGTTTATAAACATTTTTTATAGTTCGAGCGAAAAACTTTTATTAATTAAATGAACTAAAAAATATAATGAAATTCGTCCACGTTTCACGTTTCGATTTAACGATCGTGTGACATATCCGAGGCTTATTGTAATACTAAATGGATATATAAGTACTACCTATAAAATTACTTAACGAATAACTGACTTTACTTTTATAATGGTACGTGTTTACTTCGAGATTATATAAAAGCGCGTCAGATTTTATCATGTTGTAACAGCTTTTATTACGTTTGAAGGAATCACGAGCTGGTTTATTGTCAGGAGCCGCTCCATTTGCTGGTACTGAAACTTTAGAACCAGATATAGAAGCTACTCAAACAAATGCAAGGGGTAGCAGAACAGCTCAAAACACACAAACTCAAACTCAAAGCATTTGGGAACAATCCAGGTAAAGTTAAATAATTAATAGATTATTATAATACTATATTTTATAGCTTAGCATTTAAACCTTAAATTAATACAGGTGTAAATTTATCAATTCTTTACTTAATATATTTTATATCTGTTTCAATATTTAGTCATCCAGTAGCCTTAGTATTCCATTTATTATTTCGTACGGGGGCTATAGCTATATACCTTTTTGGTAAATTGTTTACCGAACGTAACACATTCATCTTCATCATTTGTGTTTTGTTATTGTCATTTGATTTTTGGACTGTTAAAAATGTGACTGGAAGGTTGCTGGTAGGATTAAGATGGTGGAATGATATTCAACCTGATGGAACAAATGCCTGGGTATTTGAAAGTAGAGACGTGAGTTTCCTTTTATAATCCCAATATTTAAGTATATCACAATATTGAGCTAATTTCGTGTTCTTTTTAGCCTTCAAGACCTGTAAACCCCATGGATTCACGTATATTTTGGATTTCACTTTATGCTACATTAGTAATTTGGCTATTTTTAGCATTTTTCACGATATTTGAACCAACATGGCTTATAATTGTAGCTATTGCTATAACCTTAAATATGGCTAATGTTGTCGGCTACACCCAGTGCGATAAAGATGCTAAAAAGAAATGGGCTACGGGCTTTGCAGCTAGAGCAGCTACAAATCCAAATATGTTTGGAAGGTTGTTTTCAGCCGGAATTGGAAGATTTTTTGGTTAATTAGTTATTAATTTTGGAATAATAATTTTGAGTATGATTTTTATTATTGAGACGTTAAAAAAGGTAAAACGTATTATATAATTTATAATTAAAACAAACATTAAAAGAGAATTTGTATTTTACGCATCCTGCACAAAATGCACCTCTCGAACTGCGAAGTTACAGAGTTTAGGGTTGTTAGGTTAGGACACATACTGCATTTTGGTGGGTGAGTAAAAAATAAAAATCCAATTTAAATATTGAAAATAGATAATGAATATATTTTAAAATCTTTAAATTATTCCTTCTGTTTTATATCTTTATTTTTATTAAAAGCGAAAGTTGAAAACATAATTTAACAATTATGGATTAAAGAACCAGGTATTGACTAAAGTTTCACACATTGATGATCAATAATGAAGACAAATACTTTTTCCTTAATTCTAGTTTGGTTTGTGGCCATCACCATATCACCGACATTTAATCAGCATGATTAGAATTGTAATGATTAATAAATATAATAATTTAGTGATAGTGAAAAATTCCACCTCGGAGAAATTTTAAGATTTTTATCTTATCTGTCAATCAATATTGATTTTCGAGGATCTGCTTGAGATCACGTGATCTAATTCGTGTTATATTAACAACCTGCCAGATGGCCATCTTAGCAGAAGTGATTTAAATTATTACTTTGATATAACGAGGCGAAATTTCGAAACCTAAAATTGTGCATGTTGTGATACCTAAATAATATAAAAGTACTACCTATAAATGACTTTTAATGGAAAAGTAGAATTCTGATAGCCAACTTTTCTTTATAATGGTACGTGTTCAACTTCGAAATTATAATATTTACGCGTCAGATCTTTCATGTTATAACAGCTTTTTTATTTCGTTTAAAGGAAGCACGAGCTAATTTACTGTCTGAAGCCGCTCCATTTGCTGGTACTGAAACTTTAGAACCAGATATAGAAGCTGTTCAAGAAACAAATGCTAATGAAAACATAACACCTCAAAGCACACAAACTCAATCTAATACACAAACTCAATCTAATACACAAACCCAATCTAATACACAAACCCAATCTAATACCCAAACTCAGAGCATCTGGAAAGAATCCAGGTAGGTTTGTGATAAAATAGACCGTGTAATATTCCTGTAATATATTTGTTTTAATTAAAGAAATAGAGATGTGTAAATTTATCTCAATCAATTATTTCTTTATTTTAATATACTTTATATTGGTTTTAATATTTATAGTCATCCAGTTGCTTTAGCATTCCATTTGTTATTTCGTACTGGAGCTATAGCTATATACCTTTTTGGTCGTCTATTCACCACAAATTTTTCTTTAATTTTTATCATTTGTGTTTTATTGCTGTCATTTGATTTTTGGACTGTTAAAAATGTGACTGGAAGGTTGCTGGTAGGATTAAGATGGTGGAATGATATTCAACCTGATGGAACAAATGCTTGGGTATTTGAAAGTAGAGACGTGAGTTTTTCTTTAATAATCCAATATTTAAGTATATAACAATATTGAGCTAACTTCGAATTCTTTTTAGCCTTCAAGACCTGTAAACCCCATTGATTCGCGTATATTTTGGATTTCGCTTTATGTTGCATTAGTAATTTGGCTATTTTTAGCATTTCTTACGTTATTTAATCCAGAATGGCTTTTAATTGTAATTGTTGCTATAATCTTAAATATGGCTAATGTTGTTGGTTACACCCAATGTGATAAAGATGCCAAAAAGAAATGGGCTGCAAGTTTTGCAACTAGAGCAGCTACTTCAAATCCGAGTATGGTTGGAAAATTGTTTTCAGCTGGGCTTGGAAGGTTTTTTGGTTAAATAGTTGTTAAATTTGGAAATAATAATTTCAAGCATGAGCTGTATTATAAAACTAAAAGAAGCAATATATATATTTATAATTTGTAGTAATTTTTGAAATTTAAACATTATAATATCAAAATTTTAATTGAAAATAGAAAAAAAACCGAATATATTTCATATTATATTGTAAAATTTTTAATTAGAATCATTATTATAAAAAGTTTTATTGATTTTATACCTTTATTAAAAGAAAAAGTTGAATACAAGTCAATAGATAATATATAATTATGGATTAAGTTAAAAAACCTGATATAATATTTACCACAGTTCCCGAAGAAGAAGCAATACGTGGCCAAAGATCTGCACATTCTTTTCCTACCGGTCCAGTGATAGCAGAACCTTTCATTTCTCCTTTGGGGTTCACAATGACTCCAGCGTTATCTAAAAATTTGATTTATTAATTATATAGAGAAAAAAAAATTCATAAAATTAATTTATATACCTTCGAAATAAAGGAAGACGCCGTCTTTCCTACGCCAAGGTTTCCTTTGACGAATCACTACAGCGGGCATAACTGTAGATAACGTACAATTAGTTAATTTAATTAAGCCTCACAATAAAAATGATCTTAATGAGGAATATACTAAATATTTTAAAAATTAACCTTTTTTCCTCAAATCTGGTTTGCCTTTCTTAACAGTTGCCATAACCATGTCACCAACACCAGCTGCAGGTAATCTGTTTAATCGACCATGGATACCCTTGACTGAGATAACGTACAGATTTTTGGCTCCGGAGTTATCAGCACAATTCATGACTGCACCAACCGGAAGACCCAAAGTCATTCGAAACTTATTACCAGAAGCTATATGAAAGAAACATTTAAATAAAATTAAAGGAAAAAATTGTTTAAAAATATAAAAATCAATACTTACCCCCACCACGTCCTATAAAAATTAATTATCGTAGTGATAAAAAAATGTTTAAATAATATTAATTTCTCAAAGTAATAAGAATTTTAAAACTGTCTAAGAAATGAACAGTTGAATGATCAAAAACTTTAAAAGTATAAAAAATTGTTTCACCTCTCTTAGACATTTTGACTTATTCAAAAGGTATTGGTTGGGTAAAGAGGAAGTCTCATCCAATCCAAAAAAAATATTTTCTTAAATGCCGCAAAGATTTCACGTGAAAAGATCTACAAGCATATCGATATATAAGATATTATACAACTATTCGTTACTTTTTTTGAATTAAAAGATTTCTTTGAAAAAAAACTTATTTTATTATTCGCGCGATTTTTAAGCTTCTATAGTTTATGTCCTAATCGATTATCGATTGACGGGCAAATTATAACAATATTACAATAGATCCAAAAACGCGATCTATTTTTTTTTTCAATTATGATGGTAATTATAGCATATCTTAAATTATTTTAAAGAAATAGAATTTTGCAAACCATTTTTCGAATTATTTTTTTGTCAAAGTAGTCACACCTTCCGTCATTTCGACCTCGTCCAATTGGAATACCTCGCAGATTTTACCTACCACTCTTTTTCCTCAGAGGCCTTAGTATAGTACCTGCCACCTATAGTTTTTTTTCATGTATTTCATATGCGAATTATGTTAATGAACGTGACGCAGATGGCTTTTTGGAATTAAGAAGCACCGAGTTGGATTACTGGTTAGGTTCCATATGGGTAAGTAGTCTAATACTACATAAGTATTTTATATTTTATGGTTGATTCTGATGAGAATTGCATGTATCAGTTTAAATCTAATAAAACAAGTTTTCGAAATCTTTTATTCTTCAAATTTTGAGATCATTATCAAGTGTATTTTTAGCAAGATGGGTAATTGTGGAGTAGATGCATTTCAATTAATTTATATATATATTAATTAATTTAATAATGTATTAATATAAGATTTCATATTGTGTTTATTATTTGAGATTATTTCAAGGTTTATGAAATAAATCAGATTTAATCGATTGGACTCTCAGTTATAATGGATCTTCATCGGATATTACAAAATAACTGAAATTTGCAATTAATCTGCTAAGATTGTTGGGTGATTTGATGAATTACCAATAAAAATCTTGTTGTATACCCCTAAGAACATTATATATTTGACCGATTTAATATTTCGGTTCCTTTTTTTTACGCTAACATTTTTAGTGTCTTTTGGCCGGTCTTTGGAGTTATTGGCTTGCGGATGGTCTCATGCGCCGATGGCTCTTTTATTATGAAGTCAGCAGCGCGATAATCCGTTTAATTTCATTACAAGCTATTAATTGGGTTATTACAGCTTTTGTAATAACACATTATGGTCCAGATGAGCCAATTTGGGCTTGGATGATTTGTAGCGTTGTTTTAGCCGTATGCAACACAATTCAATGGCTCTTTACTTCAACCACGAAATATCAGAAAGCTGATGAACCTGAAAAAATAAGACAATTGATAGTGAGAGAAATATTTCGTTATATAGTTATACCTCTTGCAATATTTACATTTATTACGATGATTTTTCTTCTTGAACAGCAATCAAGAATCCGTTATAATTCCAATCTTGGACTTACAACTTACAAATTGAACACTAATTTGAATCTTAATGATATTCGTTCAGATTCAAACGTCAAAGTAATAATGATCGTATTATCATCATGGACGGAAAGTGGATATAAGAAAAGACAAACATTCCGTGATACTTCTGCAACATTATTTCCTCAAAATTCAAAGAAAATTTCAATAGCTTATCGGTTTATTCTAGGAGATGCTCCATCATCTAAAGCACAAATGAACATGGGACAAAAACTTCTCGATGAATCAAAAAGATATGGGGACATAATTATTGTACCTACTTCTGATTCACAAGATAATTTAAGTCGTAAGGTTTATAAGGGATTTGAATGGTCCAATAAATATGCCTTTGATTATATTGTGAAAGCAAACGATGATATATTCGTACGTATGGACATTTTATCTCACGAATTGGAAGAATTAGGTCCTGATAAAAAATATTATTGGAAAGGTCTTAGTTATTGGTATGTGTTATCAACCCTTTTTTATTGTTTAACCGATTGAAATTATCTATGTTCCAAGAATGTATTATTTATTTACTTACTTAGGAATATTCCGACTCGTAACGCAGAAATTAAAAATACAGCTGTTGGTTATAAACTTCCTGTATTTCCACCATTTACAGCAGGAGCATTTTATATATTATCACGTGATATAATCTCTCTGCTTGTAACTGATACACCCCGTCTTTTTATAAAGAATGATGACCAAAATTTAGGTATATGGCTTTTTCCTTACAATATTAAGCCAATTCATGATCGACGTATTCAACAAACTGATGTTTGCGAAGATGATATGATTGCCAAACGTTTTGGTGAAGATTTTGAAGGTGGTCAAATTATGAAAGACATGTATGAGAATGTTATAAATCACAGAAGGATGTGTGAAGGATTTAAACAACGTTTTTGTGCATTGTGTTATCCTTGTTGGGGACGAGAAAATCACTGGAAAGATTTGAACTTTGATTGTGATGATGTAAAAGGCATAACTTTACTTAATCAGACAACTTTGATCATTGATAATCCTAAATACCCCGTGTCCGTATTTGATGATCCCATGAATGTCACAATGGGAAGTGAGGAAGATAGGTGGATAATCCCAGGTCTTCTTTCACAGCATTCTTCAGTATATTCTCGGACAAATCAGTGGTATTTATTACATTGGGTATGTTGGACAACAGATCCATCTACTTTCCAAGAACGTCATTACAAAGCTATAGAGCTTATTTGGGTTCATACTCCTAAAGCTATTGTTTTCGTCTTAACAACAACTTTACCACAAGATTTTTTCTTGGAATATCAAAATCAAGGTTATATAATTCATGTGATTAAATTTAATAAGGAATTGATGTTGGAACGACAATGGTTTCTTGGCCAGAATTCCAAAAACTGGCTTAATGATTGGAATAAGTTGGAAAATAATCAGTTCTTTTCTTATCATTTAACTGATTATATGCGATATTTGTTATTATATAAGTACGGTGGTGTTTATATGGATATTGATGCTCTTTGGGTACGAGCCCCACCAGATACAAACATTGAATTCATTGGGTCGGATTCTTCGAGTATTTCTTCAGATTTTGAATGGACGTTAGATAAAGATGGCACATATCTTGTGCCCGGAGTTATGAGGTTTAAAAAAGGTTGGTCTATGTTTAGAGAGATAATGGAACAAGCTTTATCTCCTAGTTATTCTCCATCATGTTTCAACTGTATTGGTTCTCGAGCAATAACAGTTTATGTTAAAGAATATCGAGAAGTTCTTGAAAGACATGGACTCATAATTTTACCTAATCATATTCTTTGCCCACGAAATTATATTCATATTGACAAACTTTTGAGATCTGATCCAATTGCTCAAAAAGAATTTCAAAAAATAGGAGAATCATCCTGGAATATACATTTGTTCGGAAGATCGACTAACTATCAATTTATTGAAAATGGCAGTGTAATTAGTTTATTATTAAAGACATTTTCTTTAGATGTTCCTCACGCATCGGCTCCATTAATAGCAGGCGGGAAACCAAATTTTAGTAATCCATCATATCCATTCGTCTTGGAAGGACCAAAGAAATATCGATTTGTGTCCTCAACTACAGTAAAAGAAGTGGATCAATATACAGGATCTTTAAATGGGCAATTTCAAGGTTTAAATTTAATATTTATACGTGGTGGACCTCCAATAGTAAATCAAACAACGATAAAAGCGAAGGCCTTAAATGGAAAATTATCTTTTAATTTACATGGTGGAGATTGGAGTGAAAGTTCTCTTACAATTAATAATTCAACGAAAAAGGACGTTAATGCTTTACTAAATACTCTTACATATCGTCCAAATGATCACTTACGGAGAACGGAAGAAAAAGATGATATCAGTTTAGAAGTTACATATGGTGACCACCAAGCTAAATTAATAATTGAAATTGAAATTCCTATTTGGCAAGATAACGTTGAACCCTCTTTAAAATAAGATGGATAAATTTTTATAAATTTTTTGAGTACAATCAAGACAATTTTTTTTTTATTGTAGTTTTATGAAAATTTTTTGTTTTTACACAGACTATTATTATAAAATTTTTATCAGAAAAAAAAAAAGCGCGTAAATTTGTCGCGCGTTTGGTTGAATCACGTGATGTACATATTCTCTTTAATAATAAAAGGATGAATCTTTTTATCATGAACAGATATTTAATTCTTATGAAATTTAGTAATATATATATATTTTTTTATATATTTAATAATAACATCACTGTTTCTTTATTTAACAAATTGCACTTTCTTAAAAATACAAACCACACTATTCGATAATTAATTAATAAAGATTTATTTAGTTTGAGAACTTGAAGCTCCTTGAGCTCCTTGAGAAATCTTATATTGCATAATATCAATTGTTGCTAAAAATAGGAAAGGTATGAATAAATATAATACACATAAAAAGATGAATATTAATGATGATGATCTTACATCTTAAATTGCTCTGTTTAGTTAAAATTGTTTGTCGTAAAGTTTCAACATTCTTTTTTACATACTCGACTTTATCAGAATAAAAATTTATAGCATCGACCGAATTCTTTTTAAAGTAATAATATAGTTAATATGTTATTATAAATTAAATTAAGTTAAATTTAACAATAGTGATGAAGACAACATAATAACCTTTTCAACATAATAGCCTGTTCCAACATCTACCATTACTTTATCAGTATCAACCAATTCTCCTGGTACATAAAGGTATTTGTTTCGTTAAAGAGAAAATAAACATTTAATCAAAACAAAAAAGAAATTTTTTAATTATAAAAATAAAAAGGATATCGATTGTGTTAACGGAACAAGAAGAATATCTTTTCCTATAAAATAAAAGAAAAATTTGAAGATTGATAATGAAATTGATTTTGAAAAATATTCATTAAACTGCCTTACCTTCTTTAATAGTTTTTACACTATCTATACAATCTTGAAAACGAGTTTGAGCTTGTTTAAGTTTTTCATACGAAGCTGTCAAATGTGCTAATTCCTAGCAAAAGCATTAAATTAAAACGCTAAAACGCGAAACCAAAAAAAAAAAAACAATTAGAATTATATGATCTTCTGTTACCTCTTCTAATTGTTTCTTAATTTCAACTAATTGAGTTATATCCAAGTCACTTAACTCTATAGTTGGTTGTTTAGCTGAAGTTGAGGCCGACATATTAATTTCTTCTATAGTTGAGAACTTGAATGGTTTTTTATCAGGTCTGAATTTTCCCATTTTTTTATTAGGAATTCTTTTGATCTGTGTAGTACGAGACTTTTTGTTACACTATCGATTTTTAGTGACACAACTTTACGGCTGTCTCTTATACACATCTAGAGATTTTTAGTGACACAACTTTACGGTGTAGCTTAAAATTTTGTTATGTATGTTATGTATAAAAAAAAAAATATTCCTCCATGAACAACATATAAATCCTTTTTTCAATGTTTTGAGATTTGAAAAAAAAATTTCAATATTTTTTAATTTTTTTCTCCGAAAAAGATTTAAATCACGTTTCGTCATTAAATTAAATGTTATGATACCATTTTTTTTTTTTTACTGATAGATAATCTGATGAATAAAGTTTTAATTGATTTTTACGAGAGGCCAATAAAACTGATAATAGTATGTGATCGGTGACACATGATCTACATTTATAAATAAATATATATATATATATATATGCAGAGAGTATTTCTTTTTTCCAAAAATTTTAAATATTTACAGTGTAAATATTTTAAATTTTTTTTCTTTATTTTTATTTTTTATTTTTTATTTTTTTTAATATAATATATTAAAATGGTAGATTGCGATGAAAATGGTAAAAATGATGTAATATGTATTTGTACACAATCAATATCGAAGCAAGACTGGCAGGTTAGTAAAAAAAAAAATTATATACTGCATTATAAAAATGTAAAAATGTAAACGAATTCTTTAATTTTTCTTAGGATCATCAAATCGTATGTCCAAAAAGAAGATACACATGCTCTTCATATCTTTCATTTATTTGTATTACAGAAAGTAATGAATATTCGTTATCATTGGTTGATTCAAATTGTCCTCTCTCACTAAAAGAAATAGCCAAATTACAAGTACTACAAAGGTATTATTACGTGAGTAAATTTTAATAAAAATTGTTTAAATTAAATTTAATGAATTTTATTATCATCTTTAGTGAAAAAGGTAATAACTTGGAATGGTTGGAATCAAATAAAATTCCTTTTAAGTTAATTCATACTTTAAGAAAAGAATGTCCAACTTTTGGGAGCATGCAAGAAATGATGAATCATGTCGAAAACGTGTGTCCATATTGGAAAGTAAAATGTATGGATTTACCTTTTGTCAATTATTTACCTCGTTGGCGGTATACACCGGCTCATATGATGATTAGAAATTCTCACAAAGATGATAAATGTTTAGAAATTTCTCGTCGAGAATTCATTTCTCATTCTACAGAAACGGTAAAATACATTTTTTTTTATTTGATTAATTAAAAAGTTCCAAATATTAAAAACCTTTTTTTTTTGTATGACTGTATTGTATTGTAGGCGCTTGATCCGATAAGTCAAAAAATTCGAGCTATTCCAATGATTTTTCCTTATTATTGTAAAATTTGCAATCAATATCTCCCATCTTCAGGTACTCATATATGTATTAAAGAGATAAATTCTAATGACAAACAAATTTATAGTTCAGAAATATTATGTCCCGGATGTAAATTAACAATTAGAGTAAAATCTGAAAAAGAAATTGAAAATACATGTGAAAGTTGTCGTAACAATAAAATAGGTGTACTTATTATTCCCCCCGAACATCAAGAAAAGGAAATTATCAAATGGAAAAGTGAAATAAAGGAAAGAAGAGTAAAATGGTCAGTAATTAAGACACTGTTCTCTCATAAAAATACTATATAAAGGCTATTAATAAACAATGTAGATCGGTTTATATTTATTTGTTCCAATTAATAATTAATTACATTTCCTATATTGGGAAATAATGTTTTTATTGTCAGATATTTTTATATAATAATTTTTTTTTTTATAATTTTTATGTATTTTTTTTATTTACTTATGTGTTTAATTTCAAATTTTTAAATATTACACCTAATTATTCGGATTATGTTATTTTTTTCCCGCCAATTAATTTTTAATACATAAAGTATTGAATTTATTAAGTATAAAGAGTGACACGACATCAAAAAAAACACCACTTATCAACGCGAGAGTGTAGTCTTGATTTTTTTCAAGTTACAAACGTATACAATAATAACAATACACAACCTGAACTTTACTCTTAATTTTTTAAAATTCTTTTTTAATCCCCCTTTTCATTTCTTTATTACTATCTTTTTTTTTTTTTTTTTTTTTTTTTTTTTTTTTTTTTTTTTTTTTTTTTTT